TGACGTAAATGACATGCTCTTTGTAGCGGATGAACAGGTTGCGGAGAATTCCGGCCTCGTTGAGGTCGCCTAGACGGATCATGTCCTCCACGCCATGAATGGAGGTCGGGTGCATGGGTTTGATGTTGGTGGCGCTCTGAGGAAATATCCAGTGTTCCTGGAATTAAATGTTAGAAAATACAGCTGAGATGAAAGTCACTAGTTATTATAACAATAATAAAACCCACATTCACTACTGCAGTACTGCATGTTATTGCAGTACTGTATGTTATTGCAGTACTGCATTGACTTACATCTTCACTACTGCAGTACTGCATGTTAATGCAGTACTGCATTGACTTACATGGCCTTCATCATCCAGGACCTGGGTCTGTCCGGAGTCACACCGTTTGACCACCGCGCCCACTGGAACGTCAAACTCTCGACCAGTTTTCAGGTCCAGCCACACATAATCTCCCTGGATTGAAGTAGATTACTGACACATTAATATAAATATAACAATGAACACAGATTTATCATCTAAAACTCTCCTCCAGACAGACCTAACGTCATTAAGGACGTGTGCAGTGCTCACTGCTGCCCCCTGTGTGAACTCATATTCCCGTTTGTATAAAAGACTTGCCTCACACCCACGCACCAACCAAACCAATTATTTTTAGCATCTAAATCTTTGAATGGAAGGTTTTTATTTTTGAGACCGGTTAAACAATGACCTGGGTGAAGCCACACAGGAGATGATGTAACTTTTGTTTGGTCAGGTTTATTCTTGGTGATTAAATCCTGATCTGATTTGGGTGGAACAAAGCCAGGAATCTCAGTGTTTCCTTTCTCAAACTGCCACCTGCAGACGCTCTAAGTCTGCAGGTTATTGAGATGGAGAACAACAAAAACCCGCAGCACCACTGAGCTCAGACCTCGCCTCCACAGTCTAGACCCTGACCTTAAGGCTGCTATTTTTATTCCCCTCCCTGTGAATGAGATTCTCAGCCTGCAGCGTCTGAGTCGCGCCCTGCAGGACTGAGTCCAGAGCCCAGGCAACAGAATCGAATTTGTAAAGAATAACATTCAAGGCCTGGACATGAAGTAAATCTGAGCTGAGAGACCAAAAGGAGAGGAGACGAGCTGCCGTCTGTCTGCTGTCTTCACAAAAAAACTGAAACAGAGACGAGGATACGATTTTTTTTCTAGTGAAAAATTAAACTTTCTGTATGAAAGGAGACAAAGTCCAAGGATGTTCTACCACGAAATCTTCTGCTCTTCACTTCTGTTAAAAATTCAAAATGAGCGTGACAGATAATGTGACTTTTTTTTTCATGTTATGATGACACACCTGCTGCAGAATGACCATGGTTCAGCTGTGAGTTGATTCCAGGTCATCAGATGTCAGAAGTGAGGCCTCTGCAAAGTCAAAGTCAGAGTTAAATACTGAATATTAATAAAAGTACATTGATAGTAGCAGAAAAACAATGAAGACTGTGTTCCTTCTACGTCATGGCTCTGTTCACACAGTGGAGTCGTAGCAGACACACACACAGCCATGTGCTTCAGATGGTAGGAGGCTTACTCGGATTCCTGGGGCTAATCCTGTTACTTTAGTACGGAAGCATATTTGTCGACTGCTGAATCATTTTCTACCCCACCGAGTCTTTTCTGCCGTAACCTTAGATACAGTCCTGTAGCTCGGGGTTCTGTTCTACTGACGCAAACGGAGCAATATACTGTAAATCTCATCATTAATATTGTCAACATTGACATGGGGATAAAAATGTTCACTTTGATAATCTTATCATCAATATTGTCAACATCAACATGGGGATAAAAATGTTCACTTTGATGTAGAAAACAAAGGAAACTCTGACCATTTTCTCGACTTTTAAAAACAACAAATTATATAAAAACAAATTATTTTGTACGTACACTATGCGATAATTTGTCTCTGAGTTTATTTTGCAGGATAAACAAATACTGTATATGACTAACAGAAGAAGTTAAGTACTAACACAAGAATGTGTTTTCTGCTGGGACACTGCCCTCTACTGACATTTTCTCTTCTTACCTCTTCCTTTCCAAATACTCTGAGTAGCAATGTTTCTTTTAAAAGAAGGTATTTCATAGGTAGATTTACTACAGTAATGTACAAATACTCAATAGTGTCCTTCTAGTATTTAGTATGACAGGAAGTTCATATCTGCTAGCTCAGACGTGTTTGTAACAAAAAAGATATTTTTGTGATCATTCACAGTTTGCTAGAGCATCATTTTTTTAATTATTTTTTTTGTTAAAGTTCAAGAATTAGAATTTGTTTCCACCCTGAATTTCTGGTATATTCTGCCACAGAAAGCAGGACCAGTTGAGAAACGTTGACCAATTACACTCCATATAAACATATCTGGGTCATTTCCTCTACAGCCGAAGGCCCTATGATGTTGGTATGACACAAGGTACACAAAAGGTAAAGGTCAAAGTTCATTGTTTCAACTCATTGTTTGGCCCTCCCCCCTGCTCCCACCCCCTGGCAACGTGTGCAGAGATTTTCACTTAAAGGCCTGCAGCAAGACCACTAACACTTAACAGATAATCTGTGTGTGTGTGTGTGTGTGTGTGTGTGTGTGTGTGGTCTTTAATACTGCTTTAACAAGCATGAGTACTGTGTGTCTGTAGCAGTTAGGACTCACATGGCAGGGATTCGGGGGACGTGACGCATTCATCGTTGAGCTACTCTGTTGTTTTCAAGCTGCGTCCATTTCTTCATGAGCTTTGACCTTTTTTACATTCTGCAAAAAACACAAACACAGCCGTCTATTTATTCAGATCACAATTGATATGCACTTTATAATCCGCTTTTTTGTCAGCTTCATTCACTTAACATTTTGATTTGGGTAGCATTTAGCTACTTTGGAGCTCAATGTTTCTGGTTAAATATTATATTATAGTAATAGTATATCTGTTATAGTTAAATGTGTTATTTTGGTATAATTTTTTACCTAACCTCTTTCTATTTGTGGGCTAGCATAGAATGTTTTAGAAAATAAGTTCAGCTCGATAGCTTGTAGGCCAGAGTCTGACATCAAAGTTTTTCTGTGACAATTTCCTCAGCTATCCTCGGCTATTGGCAAAAGTCCAGGCTAGATTTGAGGTCTAGCATAGTTAGCCTAACTGCTTTTCAGTCAGTTTGCTACCTCGTTCAGCTTATACAATGTTGAAATTTAGAATTCATACAGCTAGTTTAAACCTGGGTTAACAGGCCCTGACTTTGTAAACCTTGTCCTACAGCAGGGATGTCCAAACTTTTTTGGGTGCGGGCTAAAAACAGATAAATAAGCAAAGGCCCGGGCCGCATCCCCCCCCCCATTACTTTTGTCACTTTAATAAGGCACTGTTTTATAAAATCACCATCTGAGAACGGTTTGCCATGCTGGGCAATGAGTTTAGCGACTTCATAACTTGCTGTCGTGGCGTTTTCCTGTGTTTTGTTAGAACGAAAAAAAAACTGCTGTTGAACTTGCAGACTAGCTGCCATTTGCTGGAATTTCTGTGCTCGTTCGGCACCTGTGTATGATGCGTAGCTCTGATGCTTCGTCTCATAGTGTCGACGGACACATCCTTCATCCTTCAGCCTTCATCACGGCAACATCTTCATGGCAAATCAAACAGACACACTTTCCGTTGATCTCTTTGAAAAAATATTCATTTTCCCACCGTGTTTGAAATCTTCTGCACTCACTCGCTATCTTGCGTTTCTTCGGTGCTGCCATTTTGGGGACTGGTGTTAATTGTTTTTCTTTGCTTAATTGTGTTTAGTGAAGAAGCACCTTTTCTGACTGGCTCCATCTAGTGTTGAAACTGAGAAGTGCAACAGACTTGAGCTCAAGCGCCATGTGCGGGCCATATTCAATTATATTTTCAGAACTTTTTGCGGGCCAATAAAAACTGCCCCGCGGGCCGCAGTTGGCCCGCGGGCCGTAGTTTGGACACCCCTGTCCTACAGTATATAAAGCTCATCTTATTGTTAATGCTGCTAAAGTGTTTTCATTGAACTCCGTTCACTATACACAGTTATATACTGTTATCACAGAGTAAACAATCCTCACCTGCCTTAACAAACTCTCCCTTTCCCCATTCTAGCTGCTAAGAAGAGTTATGGGAGTCATTACTTTTTCCCAGAATGCCATTCATTTCTGCCTGTGTGAACTATCAGACAAACACGTTGTTGCATCTAAAAAGAGATTATCTCTAATTAAATCTAAGGCAAAAACAAATCATTCTGATCAACAGTTCAATGTCTCTACTTGAAGAGGCCATAATGGCTGCTTTAAATGCAGGCAGTGACCACTCTCAGCAGTAAGAGGCTTTGGCCTAAAGCTGCAGCAGAGCCGTAGTCTGAGCCACTTTCACCGGCTACGCTCACCTGTCAGTGCATTTCCGGTCCTGCTCCTCTTCTTCTTCCTATTCTTCACTTGTATTTCTTGCAGAGATACAAAATGTAGAGCTGACAGGAAGCGTCACTCATATTTCTTGCAGAGATACAAAATGTAGAGCTGACAGGAAGCTTCAATGAGACGAAGAAAATGTTAAACTAAAGAAAAGTCTGTTGTCCATTCTCTTCATTCTGTTTACATTTGAGTTTGTCTTGTTTTCTGTTGCTAGTACATTGTCTTCTGAGGTTCCACTCTGTCAGCAGTAACAGTTAGCACTGCAGTTACAGTTTGGTGTCTGGGTCAGCGTCCGGGCTCCACAGAACCCCTCACCAAACCTCCTTCATGGGCTGATCCTGATTAGCTGGGAGGAGGAGCCTACAGAGAGAAAGTGAAGGAGTTGGGAGGGAAGTCATTTATTTTTTTTATACAATTAAAAAAAAAGTTCATTTTTGAAATGATGAGAAACTGAGAAGCAGATAAGTGTCTTCAGAGTGGATGACAATGAAAAGTAAACACAATTAATATTAAATAATTTCAATAACACTGTGTAGAACAATCCCCCTTTTTTAGTGTAATAAAGACAAACATGTTTTTTTAAATATTTTTTTATTTAAAATTCATGCCACAAGTTGACATTAAATACAAAAGGATAAAATAATCATAATTTGAGATTGCAGCTATAGAATAACCACAGTGTAAACAAGAGCCAAACTCAAACAAAAAAAAAACCCTGAAACGTTAAGCTCACACTGAAAGAAACGAACAAACAAGCTCACAGTAATGAAAAAAAAAAAACAAAACCCAGAAACAGGACAAGCTCACAGTAATGAAAAAAAACAAAACCCAGAAACGGCACAGCTTTCTCGTACTTATCTACCAGCAAACACACCAGTTTGGATTGCAAAGGTAGAGTGGATATATAAAATTAACAAGGTTATAAAATACTGATAAAAGATACTCGTTATAAAGACGGTAGCATCTCCTACAAGTGTCACCATGCAGTAGGTACTTCATTCTCCGGCTTAATAAACACCAGCGGAGAAAACACGAGAAGAATCACAAGCTCATTCCTTGAGTGGACAAGAAACCCCGACGGTGGGTTAAAATCAGCCGCATTCTGCGCAGTCTCCACAGGTGGAGCTGACGTTTGTACAAAACACCCGCCTTTTACTCCTCTGCAGGGACTGGAGCACAATCGCCCTGCAGTTTGGACACATGCAGCACACGTATGCGCGTCAACGAGGCTAGGAGACTGGCAGGCAAGCCAAGCTCAGCTGCGATCGGGACAAAGTTCCGACAAGAAAGGGTTTAACCGGAGAAAAAAATACAACCTTACAAAACAACAGTTGTTAGTCCACGTCACCTTCCTGGTCCCATGACACTTTGGTTGTGTTGGCTGGATCAAATAGTTATTTAAATAATAACAGTATCACACCGTAGGACAGGCTTACTTCAAACAAAAACTTGTTCTAACATGATTTAGCAGTGACACGCTGCAAAGGATGGATATCAGAAATAATTCAGATTCATGTCACTTATGGAGTTATAATGGGCCAAGCTGCACAATTCTCCTCTTTCCTCTTCATACAGTACTCTGGCTGAACACTAGAGGTAGTGAACGATGATGTCTTCCTTGTGACACAAAGGTCTAGAGCACGGGTTTGAAACCTATGAATCCTGATACGCATGTGGCCTCTTTAAATGGACCAATTTAACATGACGGTACTTTTTTTTCACGCCACAAAAAAATCAGCTTGCTTGCTAACAGCAAAACAACATAATGGTAAGTGTCCTCTTTAAGTGGCACTCAGTTGTGCATTTTTTGTTTCGAGTCACTGCAAGTTGAGTGCAGGGATAGATGATCATCACCTGCAGTTGAAAATGTGTGGTTTGTGTTACTTCTGCGGTACGACAGGTTAGTCAACAATGCACTACTGCAGTTATTGGATTATTCAAAATGTGTTCTTTGGTGAAATTGATGTGATGAAAACAAATGTCTCTTTTAGTGTTGAGTGGTTGCAGAACCCTGCTCTAGAATGCAGCCTTTTACACCCATCCAGTCAATGATAAATCAATAAAAACCCAGTTGAATTTGTTGCTACTTTTATAAACATACTGCTCGCTTCTGAATACAAAATGTTATAAAACTGGACACCTGCTTAAATGCATGCAAATGTGCAACAATAGCCTTGGACTTGGACATCATATGTTTATGAAAGTAGCAACAGCAGCAGAACATGTTTGAACCACACTGTGGAAAATAAAAATGAAATGAGTCAAAAGAACGTTTTGAAGCCGGGCTTTTTTTTTTTTTTTTTTGCTACATGCACTGGCATTTCTGGAATTGTATAAAATAGTTCAGGTATTCAAAGAGACTGGATCCATTTTGGCAAAATTTGACAATGTGATACGATCACAATGATTAACTGCAGAAGAGAAACGTAAAAGACAATGACAGAATAGAGCAGGAAACGTGGTGGAAAACTGAAAATTCAAGAGGTAAATTTAACTCATCTTGAGATTCTTTGCAGCACTCGTATTCATCGCCACAACTCAAAGCTTGTTCCATTTACATATTCCACTCTTTTGGCACAGCTGCGGTGCATGATTGAAAGGCTGAGGAGGAACACCTTTAATAACGTTTCACATATTTGACTTCTATTACTGCTAAGGATTTGGAGCTGGCTGCTCTCACACTGACAGCTGTGTTGAAGCTGTCAGACGCACAGACAAAACACAAAAGTAAGAAGCACGGGGCTAACATCAGCTGGTCGCTGCTACAAACTGATAAGAACCGAAATGTAGCAGCAGCTGAGGAAAAAATTCTACAGCCTCTGTTTACAGAAGGAAAATGTCAGCGCATTAGAAATATAAATATTGGCTAAGAAAGCATTTCATTATTTATATGTTTAACACTACGAACCTGCATGCTTTGTTGTAGTAGAACCCAAGTAGTTCCCTTGGGTTCATGTACTCTCGATACTTATAATCAACCCTTCAAGTTTCATATAGTCAGACAACAAGACGTTTAGATATGGGAGGCAACACAGTAAAGCCTAGGAACTGATGATGAACCAGGATGAGGGGACATTTTTGCAGTCGCACACTGGGACTACCTTCCTGTACGTGCGACCAGTCCATGTCCAAACATACTGAAGTAAAACTACACCTAGTTGTCTAAATACAAGAAACTTGAACAGAACAGAAAAGTATTTAAAAAAAATACACAACATTCAAATATGTAGCGTTCGCTCTGAGGAAGTGACAAAGAAAACTGACTTTCTGTGTAAAAATAATATTTTTGTCAATTGTCAATTCTAAGCAAATGACTCAGGTAGCTATAATTTAAAAAAAAAAACAAAACAAAGAATAGATTCAGCCAGCAAATGACTCAGGTAGCTATAATTTGGGCAATCGGAAAAAACAAAACAAAGAATAGATTCAGCTGTGGGTATTTACCTTTTTCCTAGGACAGTGAGGGCATCTCTAGCGCCTCTGAGATAGATGGCAGGTTTCGGTACTACTACAGTATGTATCAAGTTAAATACATATTAAATATAAAACAGAAATCGAAGTAACTCGAACACTGGGGACACTCACTAATCTATGCAATAATATTTTTTTTTTTACCAAATCCATGCAGCAAGCTTCACCTGTGGCACCAATAATCTCGCCATGGACTCCCTTCAGTAAATCCTCTTTACACACTGACTTTGTATATATTTACAGTATTGACCTGTGGGTAATTGAATTGAGTTACACAAATATGTACATCACACCTGAAATCTTCTCTATCCACATTTATCTGAAGGCTTGACTGGAGCGGTTTAGAGCTTCATAAATACTGAGTGGGCTGGGAGGAGGGGGTGAATAAAAAAGACAGCAGCCATCCAGGCACATGCTCCTGAGTCTAACTCCACACAGCTTGTAAATAAAGTTCCTAACACTAGCTGTCTAAAGTTGGCGTAACTTTGAAGAACAACGCTCCACGTCTGTCCATTATACGCAAAAAAAAAAAACCCAACCCCAACATAATAAAGCACAGAGATCAATAGCACCTAAATAGTCGACCGTTGCTGCTTAAAATTCACAAAGGCTAAAGGACGCATGGTCATAACACTGTTACAGAGACATGGGCTAACTGTTATCAAACCAGTTGATATGATCCGACTGACATGAGGTGCAGAAGTGTAGACATGCCCACTGCTCAACTCCAAGACTTTAAAGATAGAAAGAATAAATATATATATATATTAACATTTGAACAGTACGATAACAAGGCCGTGAACATACTGGAAAAAAAACAAACATGCAAGACACGTAGAGAGATGTGCAGACGACAGGTGTGCGATGTTCAAGTAATGTAAAAGGAAGGCTCTCGACAGGTGTGCGATAAATGTCATGTTCAAGTAATGTAAAAGGAAGGCTCTAAATGAGACGTGATTGGAAATGTTTGACAAATTATTCCTACTGTCTTACATTCAAAGAAAATGTCCCAAATGACACGAACTACTAACATGGTAAATCAATCCATGGATTCACGGCACAAGGGGAGAAAACAAAATAAAACACAAATTTAAAATGCTGCAAACAATTTGTTTTTTCATTTTGGGCCTCTAGTGGCCAGGAGGTGCTAAAAGGTGAAATCGGATGAAAATCTGATCTCGAAAAAAACAATTCCGCCGATCCTGTGAAAGATTTTCAGTTGATCATGAAAAAGCCATTTTGTAATCCCTTCGTTGAACAGTTCCATGTCTCATGTTGTCTTTCTGTGGTGGAGGTGAAGCCCAGTCCTAGGAAATGGCACAAGTTGTTTGGCAGGAAGTCTTCTCCGATTCCCTTTCGCCTCGAGAGGCTGTTTAACCACTTAACTACATAAAGTGCAAGGTGTGTCGTCACCTACAGGGGTCCTCTCTTTAGTCATTCACACCTTTCCAAGGATTTCCTCCAAACCACCAAGTCCCCATCGGTTGGTGTTCCTTTGACTTGTGGTCCCCGCTGGGCGTGAAAACAAACACATACTTCTTCACACAAATCCAATAAACTCAGGGGGTTCTCTGCCAACAGTAGAAGTGTAAGCTGCTGTGTAAGTGTTTTGGGGTCACTTGGCAAGAGTCTTTGGTCCAGACCAACAGACTCGAGTCAGAGGAAGCGTCAGGCAGTGGTGTTAGAGTTGGTGAGATGATGTGGCACAGGGCCTGTTGGTTTGAACCTAGGCTTAGACCAGGCCACATAAGGTCGTTCCGGAAGGGACCGTTCAGTCCCGTAGAGCACTTGATTTAATGTGAGATGAAACTTTCACGTCACTGTGGGTAGGACACGTGGGAGTACTCAAAGGTAACACCATAAATAAGAAGCGACCGGCTGCTAAGCTACGATATCACAAAGAGCAGCACAGGCAGTCGTTTAGTCTGCTTTTTTTTTTTTCTTTCTTTTTCCTTTTTTTTTTTAGCCATGCTAGGTTTTATAGATCGTCCATAGCAACCGGAAGAAAGCGTTTGGGAGAGATTCAGGTGGAAGTTGATGGAACATGGGGTCACAACAGAGCGAGAGAGCAAGAGAGAGAGGGAGAGAGAGTCGCTGCTGTTGGCTATCATATGTAAGAAAGTGACACAGAGTGCTGCATGCTTTTCAATGCTCTGACAAAATGTAGGAGACCTGGGTCTTGTCTGGGTGGGTTTACGCTAGGTGATCAACCAAGGGTAAACCCCCCCCAAAAAACAGACAGAGGTTTGATGGGAAGTTAAGGAAAAAGTAATGGAAAACAAAAAGATCAACACATCCTCTTGTCTCTTTAACATAGACAGCCTTAAGGCAATGCATAGCCCTTGGGATCATTGGCACATGCATGAAGAGAGCAGAATCGTCTGCATACATATTGTCTGTGCACTGTGTGTGTGTGTGTGTGTCAAGCTGAAACAACAAGGAGAAGGAGAAAGAGTCTGTCTTCAATAAAGTTCAGATTACAGATCAGAGTGTAACCCAAACCCATCACTGGACTATTTTGACTTTTGACAAATTTGGGAACAAATCTCATGTCTCAACACACGTTGAAGACAGAAACTGAGATTAAGAATAAGTCCAAAAAGAGACAAAAGGCCTGAAAAAAAAAATAAAATAATGTGAGACGATAATAAAGAACAAATGAAAGAACACGAGGAGAACAGAAAAGACACCCGTGACGGTGGGAAGATGATGTAAAGTTGGAGAATAAAATGCCACTTTGAGGGTTGATTAAACCACAAATGACCTCAGATGTTGGTGAGAGTGGTGGAGGTAATGAGGCGCACAGCGAGCGTGCCCGGGAGGTCGTTGTCCTGGCGGTTGCCCTTGTCACGGAGATGAAGCGTGTGCTGCTCCTGCCGCTCGTTGGGGTCACTGAACAGGATCACCTGACCCAGGAAGGTGTCCACGATCATGTTCCTGTTGTAGATCTGTGGAGCGTTCATCAGGGCAGGGGCAAGGGATCAGGTCGAAGGAAGGAAGGAAAGAAGGAAGGAAGGAAAAGAGGAGAGGAAAGGTGAAGTGCAGTGAGTGAAGGGCGAGATCACGTGAATTAAGAAAAGATTTGAAAGAACTGGAAGGAAGTTACAACAGTTTGAACATAAGGAGGAAAAAAAATCAAGGGCTGGGTTTCGGAAACAGAATTGGAGTCGTACGAGAGTATTTGCTCTAAAAGTATTGAATGTGAAAAAGATGTCACGTTCCACATTAGTATCAATACAAAGAAAGGACAGATTTCTTTTCTACAAGTCCAGGCTCAGTGACACAGCATGACGACTGCTGCCTCTCTGCTCCAGGACACATTATAGAATTTCACAGGTTGAATTAAAAAGAATCTACCGTGTCAGTAGAGTGACCCCTCACCTCCACGTGGATCCCGTCCTTGGGTTTCTTGCGGTAGAACAGGCCTTTGATGTCAAAATTTGGGCACCGCGTGTCCTTATAAACGGGAGAACGAACTCTTTCTCCTTCACAGGTGATGATCACGTAGGGATTGACGGCTACAGGGAGAAGAGAAGTCAGGGTGAAGGTGTAGCGCAACAACGACTGTCTGTGTTGCCCTACAAATACATTTTTATAGCCACAAATGTAATTGATTTTTTTCAAAATTCTGTTCATAAAGCAATACTGTTTCATACAAGGAGATTAAAAACAATACATATTTCTTTTTTTTACAATTTAAATGAATGTTTTCATAAAGAAGGAAAATCCATAAAGTGGCTTGATACGTTAGATTTAAGGAGTCTGCTAAATGTAATGTAACGTAAGCAACATCTGTCTGACTGTTGGAAAAATGAACGGACTGCCAGCAGATGGCACTGTGGCCCCAGATGGCACCAGCTGAGGAATCTTCACTTATTGGTATTGAGTGAGTGAAACTGATGTGTGACTGTTTTGCCTGAGTTTCCGACCCAATCATCAACATGCAGCTGGAGTTCACGGACGGCAGCTGTTGTTTTTACCTCCGTTGGATTCCGGCCCCTGCAGACCCTCAGCGTTCAGCACGTGGACCTGAGTGACCAGCTGAGGGTAGCCACACATGCCTGTCCAACACGTCTGAGGAGGCTCATCCAGAGTCAGCTCTCTGGGAAACATAGAGAGACAGCGGTGAAGCTAACAGGGATGATGTCATACATATATTCATGTGTTAGCCCCGTGTTATTTAAAGCAGCCTGACACAGACGTCAGGCAACGGAACAAAAAGCTGAGCTCAGACATCACGACCACACATTTACTTGCAGTCTGAAGGCACATCAGTAAAGACGCGCAGCAAGAAGTCGCCCTGCTGCGCCGGGTCAAAGGTTGTGGGGACGATGACGTAGCGGCCCTCCCTCAGCTCCTTTCTGAGGAAGACACAGCGCGAGTTGATGTAGATGGAACCCGCCACTTTCTGCTGGGCCGAGTGCATTCGGTACTTCCTGTTTAACTCCACCTGCAAAGTGCAATAAGATTCTCTAAACATCTTATAAACATTTAATACAGATGAAAAGTGACATTTTGTTGTCTGGGAATTCATCAGAATTATCGTTTAACAAGCGAAACAACAACAAGAGATTTGTCTTGTTTTCACTTTCAAACTTCTTTTTTTGACGTTAAACAGAAACTAATTTACAAAACTGTTACTTTGAAACTGGACAAAAAGATACAACGTCAAAGGAGTGTGAAATGTTCCTGAGAGTTCTATGACGAAAGGTTCTGTGTGTAAGAAATACTACATCAAATCCACTGAGGTTTTGACCCTAAATGTTGCAAAAAAAATGCAACCATAATACAAAACAAAAGTAAAAAAAATAATCTTAGTCTGCGATCAGTCGTCGTGTTTTCGTACCCTGTGGATATCGAAGCCTATGGCCAGGTTTTCACTTTTGCCCTCTTTGGGTGTAGCCCTCTTCTCCTTCTGCTGTAAACAGATCAAGACCTCGTCCTCCAACTTCTTCACATCAAACACATACTGCAGTGAAGACCAAACACAGAAGATCACACCAGGGATCAGACGTTTCATTCCGACTCACACGGGTACTTGCAGAGTACTTACCTGAGGGTTCTGCAGAAAGGTGGCTTTGTGATTGATGCAGCCCCCCGACCGGTTCCGCAGCGGGTCCTGGCGATGGACCCAGGAACCCCTCATCACCTCCTCCTCCCAGGTCTTGTGGATGCTCAGGTAGGACGTGTTGATGAGGCGACACAGGATCAAGTCGGTGAAATACTGGCAGAAGTCGTCAAAAGTCATCCTGCAGGAGAGGAGGAGCAGAGGAGGAGTGCACAGAGAGGAGCTGAGCTTGAAAGGAAGAACTTTAAACAGGTTTAAAAATAGGGGACAATTAAAGCCAGGAACAAAGAAAAGGGGACACAGGAAACTCAGGCTGAGATTTTCTGGCGTTGACACAGGGTGTAGCTGAGCAAAGCAAAAATACTTTTACCTACTTCAATATTGTAAGGATGGAAAAACAGTTTTGTTGTTTTACAGGTGTATGACATTTTTCTCTTCTTGTTACTGGTTGGTACGACACGACACGTCAGATCACCCAGTGGTTCATCCACTCTTTCTGCAGGGATCTTCATTAAAAGTTCTCACCAGAACTCGCCGTCGTCCTGCACAGTGACGCCCAGCTTCTCCCTCTCACTCTTGCTGACCTTGTTCCATTCCTCAGAACTGCAAAAAAAAAAAAAAAACACAAAAGAAAAATGAATTTATTTAAACTGGTAAAAACATCTTTTTGCAAATATCCGCAGCAGGTAACAGAACAAAGGAACCTCTGCTGTTTTATTTCCAGTTTCTCAGATCACTCGGTGGACAATAAGGCTTCTGTTCGAACACAGACAGTCCAAGCACTGCAGCAAATCTCTTTGTTAATACTCCGGCCTCCTAATGTTGCAGGCAACTGTCCCTTAAGGGCACTTTTGTGTTAAAGTGTCCGTTATGTGCCGATGAATCAAGTCTAAACATCCAGGTCGGTTCTCTGTCAGTGGCTCGGGGGAAAACAGACGTCTTGGCAGGACACATTAGCTCCGTGTTTACGTCTGTGTGCTTAGGATTCACTGACAAATGTCCTCATCTCCGAAGTCTGTCAGACTCCATTTACTGTAACAGGTTTAAGCAAAACGCTGAATGAATTATTCAGCGAGAGCAGCGCACTGATTGAGAAAGAAGAAAGATGACTCACGTTGGTTTAATAACATCTTTCTGTCTTTCAGCCCCGATTAATAATTCAGGTCACAGAGGTCACAAAGGTCAGGTCACAGACCAGTTCACAAACAGGCAGAAAAACAGAGAAGCACAGGAGGGACTTGTGTGTTTTTTGTTTTTTGTTTTTTTACTAACAAGTACAGGTCAGGAAAAGTGGAAGGATCTGCTTATTTCTTAGGTTTAACCAGTTGATGTACTGCCCCCTCCTGGACACCAATCATTTCAGCTCATTTGGGTATTTACATTGAAGATAGTAGAGTGTACTTCAAGTGTAGATCTTCAGAGAAGGTCCTGTGGGAAAGTGGTGCAGTATATGAGCTGCACTTGGACCATTATGTATCATTCCCCGCAAACAAACAACATTCCTGGGGGAATGAATTCAGTTATTCTGGCTCTTTCCGTGGCCCATTAGCTTGATTGCGTCTTCATTTCTCATCGTCAACCAGGTATTTCTGTTTTTTCTAGTCCGCTGCTTCCTCTTCAACACATTAAGTAGGAAACGGTGTTTTTTTTCCTTGTGTCTGTTCTGATTATTTATCTTCTACAAACTGTTTGGCCATGCATGGAGCGGTATGTAACCTAAAGAACACCGGCCTCACAGTAAAAAATGATGCCCGAATTTATGTCTGTGAAGAGGCTTCTATTCTACGACGGCTGAGGAAATAAGATTAAGAATTTTTTTTTTTACGAGAAAGTCAGCACAGCAAAAACTTAGTGATCTATAATCAAACGTTCCACACATCACCGAGACGGTCGTCAGGGCCGTGTTTACCTGTCGCTCCACGGCCCACTCCACTCCTTCTCCCCCCACGGGTTCCTCATGCGAATCATGTGAAGCTTCTCGGACTTGAAGAAGGCCAGGAGTCCGTGACCCAGCCGCACTTTCCGCACGTCTGTGACGGCGTACGCGTGGCCTTTGACCAGGCCACAGTCCAGCCGGGCCTCCATGTCCTCTATGGTGGTCGCCTGGGAAACCATGGAGTTCTCTTTGTTTATATATAATCTCAGAGGTTATTGATGGTCATTAAAATTGTGTAAAAAGGTCAGTAGGGGGCAGTGTTTTTAGAAGTTAAGGAAATAATTGTAATCATTCTGTTTTGTTGTGTCAGCTCTGTTTGCTGAAATGAATCCATTTATTTGGGTCAGATTCTGGTTCTTTCCAAGCTGATTTGATCTGATACGTAGTTTTAAGTTTTTACCTTATTTGGTCAAATTAAGCTTTTAAGGACGAAACTTTTCCATTGTCTTTGGCAAAGATGAGTGCACACTCAGACCTTCCCTTTTTATGGCTGAAGCGCACTTATCTGTGAGCGAATTCGCACTCATTTTCAAGAAGCCTCTACAGCAACACACATGACTTTGACATTTGTAGATCATCTTCAGCTTGGTGTGGGTTGGTAATGTAAGAATGTGCGATGTGACGCAGCACTTTCTCAGTGATCATACCCTGATGGAGCAACTGATCAGACCGTCTCTGTTGTGCACTTTAAGGACTCGTTCAAACAGCTGGTTTCGAGCAGCTTCGTCCGTGGCCATCTGACCCTCCAGGAGGTCCACAGGCTCCGAGACACCGCCGGTAAAGTCGACCAGAGCGTCGGCCGTGTTTCCCCCGTCCAGAGCCTCGTAGCAACCATAAACCCTGTTAGAAAAACAGGCCGGAGAGTTGAGGTTTAAGTAACACAATTAACACAATTTACTCCTTTGGATATTCAAATGTATTCATACTCACTTAGCGTAGGCCTTCTCCACCAGTGCACTCCAGAACTCATTGCTGTCATTGGAGTGGCAGTAGACTAGTTGATTGTCCACCGTTGGTAGCCGGTCGTCGATCACCACATCCACCCACTCACCAAAGCGCCAGAAGCGGAAGTGGAAAATCCCAGCGTAAGATTCTGGCTTCTCTGTGTCCCACTCCTGCTCCTTCCAGTCAGGAATGACCTGGAGACAGACGAGGAAGAGGATGGAAGATGGATGAAGAGGAGCCGAGGGCAGGTGTGCCAAACAAACACCCACGGCTGCACGGGACATAAATCATATGGAGACCAGTTACCAGGTACTGTCCAGGCTGGTGATGCATTCAGGACCAGGGGACAAATTTATCACCTGAGCTCTTGCGCTCATGAATCCAGCAGGATGTGGGTGCTGTACACCAGCAAAACCACCAGTACACCCCCCCCCCCCCTCCATGAACTGAGTTCAATCTCTCAGAACTATACACCTCCCGGCTACATCATTCCACCTGGAATACACCATGTTGTTGTTTCTTTTTCCAGTGAAGACGGTGAAAACCTTTGACCCCACTGGAAGGACAATGCTCCACAGAGCTCGCCTCACTCTAAAATGGTTTCACATAAAACTACTTTGTCATACTATTAAAAAAAAACCCCACATGTGATCCGGCTGACACCAGCCCAGCAGGTGTCCCTGCCAGACGTCAGAATGTGCTAACTACACAGAGGTTTCTGTCAGAGCTCCCAGCAGGGGGTGACATTGACAGTGTGCTGATGGAGAGAACTGTGAGACAAACCTGGCACGACAAACAGCTTCTTCTGAAAAAAACAAAACAAAAAAAAACAGTACCATACGGTTGAAGGCCAAAGTACAGGATACAGTGATTCCGTTTTAAAATGTTTTCTCGGAGAAAGCTGCAACTATTAATCTGAATAAATGAAACTGGAAAAAACATTATTGGAGTCACAGAGGAGCATTTGAGACACATTTAAAAATTTTTTTTTTTGCCAATTTTCCCCTCACTCTTTTCTCTTACCTTACTTTATGGAACTGGCTATATGTGATTTATACAGTACTTTGGAAACCACTTAGCTAGAAAATATTATTTTCAGCTGAGTTGGTAATGTAAAGTCAATTTTCTATTTGCTAACTTTCCTTTTTTAGTAAAAACAACTTCTACCTAGCACTACAGGTTGAAGCTGCAGTGTTAATCTTTTACTAAATTAGCGTTTACTAAATATAGCTCTCCTTTAGCTGTCATTTTGGCTGTAATCTTCTGAGCTGTTCAGGCCAACTTTTAACTAATTATATGTCTGTTGTACTTTTGTTATGGTATGTTTCCTGCTTTCAAATACTTTGTTTAGTACTGGAGCATGACATCTTATCTGTCCATATCTTTTTACTTTGTGGAAATAATCACTGTTCGTGTAAACAAAATGGTTCGGATGTTTATATTTCCCCCATCGAGTCTCAGGATTTTAGTGTATTTAATTTGCAACCAAGGAAACAAGCGAGACAAACAAATGTGTTACTAACAGAATGAGGCAGAGTTCCCTGAAGGAAAACCATGTGCTGTGATTGCAAATGTCATTAGCCCTGGTTGCCTAGGAGCCCAGCTCATCTGTACTCTGCTTCCACCCTCTTCCATCAATGTGGCACAGACGTGCACGGCCACAGACTCCACAAGTGCTGCAGGCAACAGCGCCGAGTAAGAGTTGCTGAGACAGAGAGGAAGTCAAGTCTCTTAGTATTTAAGCTACTCCTGCTCTAGGTATCGAACTCCGAACATGTCTACGGTGCTGGAGCTGCCGTTCAGACCCGACACCCAGCTGACGGAGGTGATGCGTCTACGGGTTCAGTCCCTGCAGCAGAGAGGACAGAAGAGACAGGACGGGGAACGCCTGCTGCGGCCCAACGAGGCCGTGTACCGACTGGACTTCTCCAAACAGTCCCTCCACTTCTCACACTGGACGGTACGACTGACGCAGCCGGGGCACCTCACCGTCACCGCCACATCTCAGCTGTGGACGCCCGACCTCACCAACCTGATGACACGGCAGCTTCTGGAACCCGTTGGCGTTTTCTGGAGGTCACCAGAAGATGCCAGTAACGTCCCCGTCAAATGTTACGACGCCGATGCGCACGAGTTTGGTGAAAGGATCGCAGAATTGGCTAAGGTAAGGAAAGTCATGTACTTCCTGTTTGCGTTTGCGGAAGGCTGCAACCCGGAGACGGTGGACTGCTCCATCACCTTCACCCTGGACAGCTGAGACATTAAACCCTGGACACACAATTTTTTCCCTCTGTTTTCCGACCCCTCTGTGCTCTGTGAGTTTTTAGTTGAAGTGAACTTTAGTTTAGACGCTGTGTTTTAGAGTCAATGTCGTCCTGTAAATGTCACTGAATGGCTTTAAGCAGAGAAATATTCCTACTAGAAAAACAAGAATTTATGTCAGATGAACTGGATGATTGTACAACGATGACACTTTTGAACTTTTGTCCTGAACTTCAGTTCTGTTCCTTTGTCCTGTTTTACTCCTTAACTCTAATAAAAACTCCTCATTGAAAAAGCGTGTGTAGATTTTGTTTTGTAACCTTTAAACACCGATCTCTTTGGACTTGCAAACTGCCGTCTCCTTCTCCTCTTGCCTGACAAACAGCCAGCCCAGATGGTTTGGCAGAAATGAGTCCCATGTGAGAAACGAGACGGAGACCGTGTGTATTTGTTTGTACGCAGAGTGGGAGGATTTCCCTAACGGACGGAGGAGAACAGGTTCCCACTGATCCCGATCCGTCTTTCACGGTGACCTGACAAACAAGGAAGCTGAGGCGCGTGTGTTTCATCTCTCGGTTTCCTCCTGTTTCTCACCGCAGGGGAGAAACCGGTGAGTGTGATTGTTATTGAGATGAGAAGAAGATAAACTGAGGACAAAAGACATTCATTCTGAACCTCGTGTTTTTTTAAAAACAAACAACAAAAACGGTGTCTGTTACGTTGATAGTGGACCCACTCAATGCACTGATAAAGTGTAAAACATCGAGTGGTGTCAAGTGACACGTCATCTAGATTTACCGTTTGACCAAATAGTCAGTGGAAAAACAAGAAGAAACAACAGTTTCAGTTCAGTTTGAAATGAAACACACTGGGATTTGGTTGCTGGTAATTATCATGTACCAGGTAGAGAAATGTTATTGTTCTGGAGCTTCACGACTCTGGATTCACCAGGTGAGAGAATTAGTCCCAGTGAGACTGGGACACACACTTGGTCTGCTGGTGCTGAAGACCAGTGGGAGAAACAGCCAGGAAACAGTGTTTAAGTTAGGCTACATTTTAGCTTTTTTTTTTGACCTGGGGAATTGTTGTTCTGCTGTGTTCTATCACCACTGGTGTAAACATTTAGGCTGCGGTGATTTACTTTTCTAACTGGGTTAAAAGAACTTCTATAAACATTTAGGCTGCGGTGATTTACATTCTTTTCTAACTGGGTTAAAAGAACTTCTGCTTTCATTTGCTTAAAAAAAATACTGAGTGTTCCTTGAGACTGTCAGTTTCCAGTACTAAGTGGAACTGAAATGACTCAGATTTGTGTTGAATTCTGGAGCAAAACATCAAAATAAAAATTATGTCTTGCCAAGGACACACCAGAGATGGCGCTGTTGACAGCATAAAAAAAGTCGACCACCAGACTTCTTTGCTTGTTTTGACTTCATACACACTGTATACCCAGTAAATTTGTTTTTTCAAAGACATACAATTTATTAAGTGCTGACATAAGGGGGCGCTGCTCAGCCATCTTGACATCTTGGTAATTGATTCTTTAATTGTTTCCAATTTTTTGGAAAATAATTTGAGTGGTCTAGTTGTTCAAGGATCCAGTCTGTGATTGGATGGTTGTCGGTTGAAATCCCGGCTCTGACTGGACTTGTGGAAATATGTGTGTTTATATGTACAATGTCAAATGACTGGCAACTTTCTTCAGTTTTAGCCACATGTTGGTCACTTGTTACCATGATCCATTCATGCAGTATTACCTTAGTTCCTTCAGAGTACAGTACAGCTGCAGACAGCAGTATTTGTCTCCCACGTCCTGCTGACCATTAGGTTTTTATCATCCCTGTGAAAAGTCAGGCTTCACCTGAACCTCCAGCTCCTGTTCTCCCTCTAATGTGACAACTTCTTGCCCTCTCTAGTCTGTGTACAGTGTGGACCTGTCACCGGGGTTTTTACTGCACACCAGAGTGAACTGCATGTACTGTACTTCACCACAACAACAGGATTTAACAAGCCAAAACAGGAGACGGCGGTGGAGGAAAACAAGGTGTTCTACTTTAGGGTGTGTACACAGGATGTACACGTGATAAAAACTAAAACAATTACGTGAGCTGAACTGCATGTGTCAAACTCAAGGCCCGCGGCCCAAAACCTGGCTGAGAACACAACATACAAACAGTATATCTTTGTAATTATTACTGAAAAAGAACTGCTATTTTTTAAAAATCAGATATTCAGTACAAGGATGACACGAAAAAGTCTTCAAATAATATAAAATACAAAGAAAACTTACTTTTTGCCACAGTGACTCTCTGGAGGCCAGGCTGGAGCAGGCAGCCACAAACCAGCAGTTACCCAGCTGCCCCTGGTGCAGATCGTGTGCACTGATGCCATCGACAAACAGGTGAGGATCCTCACACAGCTCCTAGAGGCATGAAGACAACAGTTTAGAGAATCTTTAGGACATGAACGTGACAGATTTCTGGACCAGAAATGACACTGAAATCAGAGTGCATTTGTGGAAGGGTTTCCTTCTGCAGAGCTACATTAGTGTTTAGTGATTTTCCTTCTCATTTTCTATGCAACTTGTGCACCTTTCCATCAGCCTCTGCGGGGTCATGCACACACACATACACAATCAGACTTCCTGCGGTTTCTGTGATAATGTGTGGGATGATTACTACAGGCTGCGGGCTGATAATGGCCCATTACAGGCACAAAGACACACTGTGTCCTCCACTCTTTTGTCTAAATAACAATGGCAACGCATTTCCACATAAATATGTTAAAAATGAGGGGCTGTGTGCACTATTTCAAAAATAAAATCCCACTCTCTGCTCTCATTAATGAGACATTTCCATGTCTGAAAAAGCAAATCACATCATTCCACACAGTGTCAGACTGAACAATGGGGGTTTTGTTGTGTTTAAATTGATTTAAATGAGTTTAAATATAGGTACAGACACATAAAGGCAGCAGAAATGAGAGTAACACTGGTAAGGCACTGCAAACCACATGTGATGATGTCATTCAGTCAAACTACAAAACTGTGAAATAACAGTGTAACTGAATGAAGTCAGATTTAAAAATAGGATTTTTTCATATTATTCTTAGGTCAGACGACACAGGCAGACGCAACTCAGCCTGAAGTCAGCTAAAACGTGGAAAGCAGCTCAAATTAGTAAAAAAAAAGATTACATTAAAAAAGAAAATCCATAAAAATCAGATCAAAGAACAACATAAAAGTAGCTAAAAAAATAAGAAAAATCAACCGAGAAAAGAACAGATATGTTTTAGTGACCAGGAAATACATTAAAAGTTATTAACAGTGGGATCCACTGTTAATAACAAACAATTTTCTCAGGAGCAGCCAGAATATAGTAAAAATAAGATCATAACAAAGACAGCTTATATTTATCTTTGTCAACTCCGACATCATCTTACCAACTTTACTGTGGCTGTAAAAAATAACTATCAGATTCTTTATTCTCAGCAGGACCAATGACGACATTCTACAAATCAGTGGCTGCCTGTAGAGTTTAATAAAAACGGTGAAAGTGCACTTGGCTGAAGAGACTACAGCAGTTTCATTGGCCATTTGGCATCTGCTCACAGTCGGCAGAAGGCAGTGTATCTTTAAAGGAGGAAATCAGTCACCAGGAAGGATTCAGTGTCTGCTGTATGTGTGTCAGCCACGTGATGTCGTAGAGCAAATGGGAAGAGAACAAAAGTTGAATTACAGATAAGTTCAGTGTTTGATTTTACATCAAAATCTCACAATTTAATCTCTGAAAAAAATCAATAATTCCTTTCCAACCCCACAGACCCTTCATCACGGTTCATCCCTTTATCGGAGTTTTCATATAGACGAGGGGTTTCAAACCTCTGGCACATGGGCCACTTCCAGCCCATGAATCCACCACATCTGGCCCATGACAAGATGTTTACAATAATTTAATTATGTCCTTGAGACAATTTTGAAATAATTTAATTATGTCCTTGAGACAATTAAAAAAAAGTCTAATCTTGACATTTTTCAACAAATAAAAAGCTTTGGTTGACCCTTTATACTGCAGTAATGATCCTACACAGATGTCCTGAAACTTTCCCCACAGTCACAGAGCTGCTCTGGTCTGGTCTGGGTGTTAACCATCTGTCTGCTCTCTGCTTTATGGGAGCAGTGGGTCGATGGGACGTTCTGTCGTTACTCAGAGAGCGGAAAGACCAGCAACACTTAACAGCTCTTTACCTTAACACACTCGCAGCTCTCAACTAGGGTTGGGAAAGTAAAAGAGGAAGAGAGACAGGCTGAGCAGCAGGCATGATCACCGGACTGAGACGGTGGACAAAATGGACGCAGGGAACTAATTTAATCAATAGGATCGAGGGCAGCGACGGGCAAATGTTTTGATTCGCGGGTTACAATTGGTCCTAAAATTGGGAGCAGGTGATGGAGTGTTTGTATGAACTAAGATATATATCATGTAAAGGTCATGCATAAAAGCTAAAATGCTAAATTTTCTTTAGCCTTTTATAGCCATCTATTGGAGAAACATGGGCATTGCAGGGAAAAGGCAGAAGTATAATGATAAGATATATGACATGTAAAGGTCATGCATAAAAGCTAAAATGCTAAATTTTCTTTAGCCTCGTATAGCCATCTATTGGAGAAACATGGGCATTGCAGGGAAAAGGCAGAAGTATAATGATAGTATGAATACAAATATATCATTTGGACAAGTTTGGCGGGCCACATTAAAAAGCTGAACGGGCCGCATCTGGCCCCCGGGCCGCAGTTTGCCTATGCCTGATCTAGGGAATGTTAACACATAATCATATTAATGAATCTGTGAAATTGATTGGATATTAATCTTGAAGGCTGTATATATGATAATTCCACTTAATTTAAAATACAGTACCATCTCCCAGCATGCATTTGCGAGGTCTTCAAATTTTTGTTTGAATTGTTGAAGTTTTGACCGTCAGAAATGAACAATGTCACATGTTCTGCTTTGAAGACGCACGTGCACATCATCAACCAGAAGCATGACTGACACACACACACACACACGCACACACACAGGACATGACCGAGGCCAAGGATTTGCTGACGCTGCAAAGCTGATTGCTGCAAAAGCAAAGTTTTAATCAGAAGCAGAGGCCACTGCAGCGTTCCCTGGAGGACTGCAGTCTCTCACAGCAGCCCGTCTCACCTTACACTGACCAGCACTAAAGAACTCACAATGAAAGGAGTTCCCAGCTCTGAAGGCTCAGCGGGGTGGGACCGTAAGAAGCGGAAAGTCAAGCTGTCGGCTCTGTTTGTGACTATGTCAGAGGTTAAGATCTCTAATCAGGTTTTTTCCTCCCAACTTTCTGAAACAGCATCGATTCCCAGCGTCTAAACAGCAGCGGGGGCTCCCTGTGGTGCCCCGCCGTCCAGGGACCGTCTCGGCTGCAGGAGTAATAGAGTATCGATCCCCGCTGTGCCCCCGCAGACACTGAAGTAATGTGAATATTGTGGCTGAGCACTGGGCTAATAATTTACTCCCGCGACTCAGAAACCATTTCACTGGAACATTATATTTTTCTCCGCAGCATCAATCAGACGGTGAGGGCAGCCATCAGCCATACAAACGTACACATGCTGTGAGAGCAAAGTAATAGACCCAACATAAGTCAAGCCTGGAAATTAGTTTAGGGAAAGTGGTTACATGAGCAGATGTGACATTTTATCTGGAAACAGGATTGATAGTTACATCAATAACTGCACTTACATAACAGTATATAACAGTAATGATTCAGCTAAGAGTTAGAAAGAGACTAGTAAAAGACTGATAACCAGAGTTAGTACTCAAAGTCCTAAGAACAAATCCGAAGAAAAACAAGGCAGTGATGCCTTCACCACCCTAGGAACAAAGTTGCACTGCAGCGCCCTACTGCATTGTACTGGTTATCATTACTTTGCAAATCAGACAGTTTTGTAAATGTGTTTTTTTTACTCTGTTATGGTTTTATTCTTGTATTATTTTAAGTGAGTTCAGTGTGGAAAACAAAGACAATAAACAATACAAATAAAACACTAACTGTGTTAATTCCATTGAGGCTGCGTGTTGTTGTATATATACTGTACATGTACATTGATATTTGTCATGAGTTGTTATTGGCCAATGAGCTCACCATTAGTCTATTGTCTAGTGTATCCTTTCTTTGGTCTGAATAACAGCAATCACAGCGACAGGCGGGGGAACAGTGAGAGGACAGACAGCCTAACGTGAGACCCACAGTCAGGATCAACATTTTATTAGAGCCGGCTCTTTATGCTCACACGCTCCACCACTGGGATTTCACTGCAGCTATAAATCGGCAAGATGCAACAGAGCAAGGATAACACGGAGCACACAAGGCTCAGGGTCGAGAGTGAGAGGGGGGACACACACAGGGGGAGGGGTTCAAGGCCAAGGCTTTGAACCTTCACCTTGACACTGATGAAACAGTGTCTGTCCTGTTTGATTGGGCTGCTTGATGCAGAAAGGGTTTGGTGTTCGACCAGTGGCCACGGCATGTTCAGATTGGGCTGCTTGATGGAGGAAGGGTCTGGTGTTCGACCAGTGGCCACGGCATGTGCAGAGATCGTTACCTTTAATCCGCAGAGCCAACGTCATCTCTCATTATCGATCATTTGCCACCGATAATTTAAAAAAAACAATAATCATTCAAGGCCACTTGAGACAGTCACCGCTTTCGTGTCCACTCACAGAGAGACCACGGGTCTCACTCATCATCGTTATCGCTCACATCTCTGACAAAGTGACTCTGCCTTTAAAAGCTTTCCATGAAAAATGGAGCATTTCAGGTCATGAAACGCTTTCAATATCAAACAAAGGAGCAGGAAAGTATTGACTTTCCGATGGAACTGATGCTAAATTACAGTGGTGGGAAGTAAAGATTATTATTTGAAATCTACCGAGAAACCTGAACACTGTACACTTATGGACATCAGAAGGAAAGACCTCTGTCCTGTTTGACTCAGATTCAGCTTCTCTCTTTTTTTGGTTCACAATTTTCACCGTAAAATTGAAAATTACAGTTTTAATACATACATATGTATTTGTCAGGGTTGGTATGGTTGATGACTTTATCAGTTTATATTTTTGCAAAAACGCCAGCTCATTTGTGCCTCTGTCTGTGTGGGATTTGGACAATTGTGTCCTGACAAATAAGAAGCAGATGCTCCTGCTGCTCCTCTCTCCTCCTTTTGACTTCTCCCACTCTCCAGTCTGCATGACTGACATCAGCGAAGGCCAGAACATATAATCTGTGTGACCCAGTTTCCATGGCGATGCACATTGGCTGTTGCCGGAGCATCAGACAAACAGACAGAAGGCCCGGGTTACTCCGTCCAGAACCACGGAGTGTCTGCAGAGTGCGGAGCCCAGTCCGACCTCGGAGTCCTGAGGAGCTGCATCTGATGAGGAGGAAACGGACTCACGGCAGCGGCGACGCAAGGACGACGAGGAGTGAAGTGTAGCCGTGATTAACGAGCAGTGACATAATGCGATCTGGTGAATTATAAATGATTAGTCATATCGTAGATCACGCTCTTATCCTGCAGGGACCTTTGGCAGGCGGAGTTCGCTGAGGCGAAGGTTTCAGGAGTAAACAATAGCTGCTGGGCATTTAGCTACATATAATGGCTGGGTTCAACAAATGGATAGTGTGACCAAACACCACGTTTTATCATTGTTTTTCAATGGTTGAGGTGTTACATTCACTTGTTTTTCAAGAATTGATGATTGGTTTTGTAACCAAACATCACATTGATGAGTGTGAGGTCTGTCTGTTCCCTGGTCTGATGAGTGTGAGGTCTGTCCGTTCCCTGGTCCTGCTGTCTGCTCTGTGGTGGAATCAGTGTCATCACACTCACCTGTTGTATTCGTCGTTAGTCTCACTGGTGTCACCTGGTGCCCTTTGTATATATACCTCTGTCCCTCACCTGCCCTGCTTGGATCATTGTGCTGTTGTGTTCTGTCTGTGTGTTTGTGTTCCTAGTTGGTCATGTTCTGAAGAAGTCAATGTCTTGTGGTTTATGTTTTACTGCAGTCCATGTCTGGTAGTTTTTGCCTTGTCCTGTTTTGTTAATTTGCACTTGGTTAATAAACCTCAACCCAGAAGGAGTTCTCTGATGAAAAGAGAGATTCCAGAATTATTGAAACTTAAATAGAGGACATGTAGAGAAATAGTTTCATTGTCATAAACAAAGATTTCTTTTTCCTAGTATGTCTTAGAACTTTTTGACTGTGCTTGCCTTAACATTGCATGAAACTCAAAAGCTCCAAAACGGCAGCTCAGCAACATTAATTGTTTCTTTTTGTCTTTGTGTTTGATGGCAGCTCCAAAATTGTTTCTTTTTGTCTTTGTGTTTGATTACTAAAATAAATACGAATGAAACTCAGGTTTTTGCACATTCTGCCGAGCTCAGAAACAGGACTGTGTCAGGAAGCAGATCAATGGAATCTACATTTATCTCTGGCTGCATCAATGATTCCCAGGAGCCAACGTGTCCTCTATATTTCCCCCCCCTGAGATCTGTGTGTGTGTGGTTTAAAAGAGACATTTTCTAAATGTGGGTTCAAGCTCCACTACGTGATACGGAGGGTTTAGTATAAGAGGTGACCAGGTCCCTGACGGTCAACCTGGCAGAGCTCCAGAGATCTGTGTGAAGATTCAGGAGAATCCTCTAGAAGGACAGTCAGTGCAGCGCTCGGTGGCTCCGAGGGTTGATGGCAGAAGGCCAGAGGAAAAAGACATCTCCAAAGTTAGAGCACTGAATGAGAGGAAGAAGAAGATCCTCTGATAAAACCAGACCTCCACTGTTTGACCTCACTTCTGAGGTGGTGGGCGTTCAACTGAAAATGTTTGGTCACATTTAAAATTGTTGTTTCAACAGTTTTTTTATCACATGTCAAAAGGTAAAGATTCAGACAGAAATCGTCACAGGGACAGCTGTTGGAACTTATGAACAGAAAATATCATTACAAGTACTGTGCAACATGGTCATTTCTCTTAGGATGCACCACAGTTTATGTTGTGACTCATGAAAACACAGTCAAATACCCAGACTCTTCCTGTAGTGTAAAACACTGAAGTAATTAATTTTTTAAGTTTGAAAAAAATGTTGTTGTTTTTTTTTATCATTTTTTAAGTTTGAAAAAAACTTAGTTTTTTTTAAAAAACTCACGATGTTCGTTTAATGCTAAACAAGCAAAAAAAAAAAGCCTAAAAAAACTGTTTTTAATATGCGTCAAAAAGACCAGCAACTCCAACAACCACCTTTGACCAGTCCACTCACCCGGGGTCTCTTCCACACCACACGTCCGATCCTGTTGCCCTGGCAGAAGAGTGAGTCGTCAATTGCAGGGAAACGGGGGTCTTCAAAGAGGAGGCCACTCTGCAGGCACTGCCTCTTCAGTGTGGAGTACTGCTGCCCCTCGAAGGCCTTCACTGACGTGAACATACTGCAGCCCTGGGGATGACAGCATGTCAGAGTTGAAAGGCACAGATGCTCGTGGTATCAACACACACACACACACACACGCACTGTTACAGCTTTTTCTCTCCAAATGCAGCTCCTCCATTACTCTACACAGCTGCGGCTGAGTGACAGGTGAATCCGACAGACTTTAATACCCTAACAGAGAAAGCCCTCGGTGGAAATGGAGAGTCGATGTGCGCCGCTGCCTACAGCACTGCCTGGATTCACAGGAGTCAAAATGATCAATCTGTCAATTCAGTGACATCCTCCTGGGCGTAATTATCACTGCCGTGCCAGGAAGGAGCCGCGTACACACCGGTCAGAGCGGAACGTCGGCGGAGTAATGGAGGGAGAAGGAGTGTAGGTGGAGGAGAGGGAACACCGTTCTACTGCTGTGAGAAAAACTAGCAAAAGATCCATCAGACCAATTAATTTTCCTAAGTCTTTCTTTGATATCCCAGCCTTCTGGGAAAGTTATAACGATATGAGAGTAACTCAAAGTTCCAAGACAATTGTATTTTGAAGATAACAAAACGTCTTCCCTACAAGCAATCCGCCACAACACAATTCTGAGGGACCCTAACCCTAACCCTAACAGGTCACGACCTGCGGGGACCCTAACCCTAACAGGTCACGACCTGCTTCCTGCCTTGCCCTCACGTAACAGTTGTGCTACATCTCAGACTCACTCTTAACCACTTCAACAACCTCTACGTTGCTATGGAAAAATTCCTTGTCAGGAAATTGACTTAAATCTATGCATCGTTACCATCACTCTAATTTACAGTGTGGCAGAGGTCGAGCATCAATCAATCCTCATCTGCGTGACAGCCTTGGTGCCGTCAAGGTTACCATAACAATCCGCTGTCCTCTGACTAAATCAGTTAGTACACCGACGGTGAGAGGAAAGGAGAAAAGGTCGACCAGGAAATTGTTCTCAGTCTTTGGTTAATTAGAGGGAATATGTAGTGACTTTTAACTAGGTCTGATGAATCCACAAGCTGGCTGACACTTGGGCTGGTGGGAAAGTAAATCCCTGTGGGAATGAAGAGTTCGCTGCTGGAAGCCAACTCTGACAGATGGCGTGGTGTCTTGGCTCGTGAGCGCGTTGGGGAAAACCATGCTGTCATCTGGCGTCGCTGGACTTCCAGCAGCTTCACCTGCAGAGAGCAAATCCTGAGAGAGGCTCCTACTTCTAAGAGTGTAATGAGCACAAGAGAGGCCCGGGTGCACGACAAAAAACGTCGTTTGAAAAGCCGTCGACGTAGCTTTTCAGCCACGAGTGACGCTGATATCACAGGAAGTGGAGCAGAGGAAGTCGCTTTAAACTAAACTTTAAGGGGAAATTTGACGTTTTCGTGTAGAGCGTGTGGACACCGGAGTGTCCAGGGAGCAGCAACCTCTTCAACCTGTAGTTATGTCTCTGTCCATCTGGTGAATCAGAGTAATTACAACTCTATTCATGGTTACATCATTATTCTTAACGTCAGTCTGATTACTGCTCGAAACAACATCACTGATGAAGAATCTTTAGTTTGAAGTGATACAGTATGATCACCAAAAGGCTCTGAAAACTAAGTTTATGTTCAACACCAAGTACACATGCAGAGCAACAACAGGAAATGGCAGTGGTATGTGCGGCTGTATCTAACGGCCACATATTTTCTGAGCAGGAACGTCGTCACCACCTCCTCCAAAGTCGCCATGTTTGTTATTGTCTGAGAAAACTGACGTGGGCAGCAGACAAATTCTGAACTCAGCACTGCCCCTGGTGGATGTATTGCTTAACAACCATGCCAAGTGTAAGGCATGGGAGTATGTGGCCAGTGATGTTGTGTGTACTCATGTACTTACGTGAAGGCAACATAAATAAGGCCTGAAACTTTTTGATGGTTTCTTAACAACTTTGTAAGTTAATAGTTGTTAATGCAACAATCACGGTTCACTTACCAAAACAGAATTTGAAATGGCTGCAAAAAACACTTCTTGCTCTAACACAAACGACCCGATGTGATAATTGAGAATTCAGTTGTGTTTAACAAATAATGAAACAACGATAGATAGGAAAACACTGGACGAATCAGAGTGGAAACAGCCACAGACAGGACGTGGCTGTAATGTGGCCGAAAAGGCAGTGAAATCGAAGTGCGTTTTCTGAGTTAATGGACAAAGAGAGAGGAAGGAAGGCAGACAAAATGTCTGAAAGAGTTGATGTCTGCAGAATTATTGTCATCGAATCTGCTGAGAGTGTTATCCTCGGTCCATATCATCAATTTATTTTATAGACCGGCAATGGCTAAAGGCTTTCAAAGGGCCAAACTGTTTAATATTGAACAGTATAATACATGCTGGACATAATAAACACATACAAAGTCCATCTAATAAAGAGGAAGAGATTTCTTTAAAACTCCATTAATCAGTCACTCAGTCACAGTATAGATAATACTAAGAATTTGAAGTCGATCGAGTCATGGCTTAATTATGACACAAACCAAGAGAAAAGGGAGCTACAAGTCAGAAGTCGGAAAAAGCTAACAGCCTAAAAATCATAGCCTAACCAAAGGAATGCTTTCTGATTCTCATTTTTTTTAAATAATAATCCCAACACAATTTGTATGCTGCACGTTAACTATGGTAATTCATGTAAAATCAGTTGTCTCAGAACAAAGGAGGAAGAAAATGAGGAACTGTTATGGCTGACAGGTGATACTGCCTGAAAACAACAGAGCCATGATTCAGGAATGACAGAAGCTGCGGTGAAAAGACGGAGGAGAAAGCCGTTCAATCAATGTCCAATACCCAGAGGAGCTGAGAGCAAGAAAACGCACCGCTCCTTCCAATAGATGGCAACAGAGTGGGCTTAATATGACAGTGTCTGATGCTCAGCGCACAAATCGTCGGCTACACATGATGTAAGGTGACAGATAAGACTCGCCTCCATTTGTCAACGCGCAAGTCTTGTCCCCTGTCGTTTCAGAGACACCTGGTCCAGAGTCTCTGCTTTGACTGCATCAGAGTCCAGACTGAAACCTGACTCTGCTGGTTGCACTGAACAGGACCAACTGCTGGTCAGCAGATGTCAACATTCATCACGTTCAGTGATGGTGATGCCTGGCGCTGTGCAGAGTTCTGGCAGAGGTACCACAGAGTTTCACTGACGCCACCGTGGGCTGGAATTAACAGAACCACTGCTGCAGGCGGGTGATGATGGGCCGCAGAGCTGTACTGATGTCATGGAAATGTCATGACAACTTGTGTGTGATTTATCTAACATCACATAGCAATCCATCATCCTTTAATGCACACAGGCTTTTAGCAGAAGAAATTAAACCAGCAGCATGTAGCCCAACCACTGATCTTTTTGTTTCTCTGAAGATAATCAGCTCAAGTTTCCAAGACTTCCGGTTCTTTTTCAAAATAATAACCAGTGATATCCGACTTCTTTGTTTTTCCATACAAGAGTAGAGTTTCCTTGCTAGCTAACCTAGTAAACGAAAATACACAAAACAGAGAGATGTGGGGGGGATATTATTATATTGACAGCAGGACTGAAAAAGAATCCCTATTAGTATCAAACAGCAGCATTCCAAGTTTTCACATTTAGCCATTCTCTAGGGTGCAATGAATTCTGGGATACCCCTGGCAGAGAACAGACACAGCTGCTCAGTCTTTCCTTGCTTAAATATAGAAGGCCACATTTAGTGTAGGCATTAAAACGGAACAACAGATTTGTGTTGCGCAGACATGTCGGAGGGAGAAAGCCCACGAATTTTAGAGAACGGTTCTAAATTCAAGACACAACATGACACTGACCAGGACTGGCAACAAGAACCCAACAGCCAGTCTGTCACGCTACACTCTGCAAAAGATCAACACTGGCATGGACACAGGCACCATGGAGAGCTCCTGACCTTATTACCCAGCGTCAGCAGTACCCTGAACAGTTCCTGTGTTACTCCGTGAAACAACAAACAGTTAAAAAAACCAGGGTCTACAGCGAGAGACAGACACAGTCAGACGTTTCCCTGCTCCCTGGCAGTACAAGAAGAAAGAATCTGTTTCACTTTTGCCCTGGATAACGTTCAGCCATGTTGTTGCTACAGGTTTTGTGAGTGACAGGGGTTGAATACTGCTGCCTTAAGTGCAGCATCAAGTCTGCCAAGAAGCTTCCTTATCCTCTGATGACCAGCGACATGTTTGGCTCTAAGTATACATTGCAAGTTTATGAAGCATTTTGAAATATAATACAAATTGACCACACGTAAGTCGTCGAAAGATTTCACTTGCGCAGTCTTGGGAGCATGTTGAGAGCAGCAATAAAAATAAAATAAAAAATCTAGCATGTCTGATGAAGATAGACAGGTCTTCAGCAGCTCCAGGAGGAAAGCCGCAGCTCTTGTGACCTGGCAGACTATAAAAATCAAAATGCATATCGTTTTTTACCATCATCAGCAGACTGAAGTCAGTACAACAGCAGTCATTTCTGTGTATCTGCCAATCATGAGGGTGTGCTGTGTGCTTGTGTCAGGACTGAGCTCCCCCGCCACCTGTCTATCACAATAATAAGGCTTCGCTGCCCAGACCTGAGAAATCCCTACTCTCTGAAAGCCGACAGAAGAAGCTCACAGACAACACCTCACCAACATCACCGCGTGTCTGCTGCACTATCAACATCTAATCAATACCTCCTTAAAACAAAACCTACAAACACAGAAGATTTCATCAAAACAAAATCACATCAAAATTCACATTCAGTTGCCAAAAACCTCTTTACTAGAAACAGTCAAAGAGGAAAACAGGAGTGCAGCAATAAAAAATGGCTTTAGTAAAAGATACTAACATAACTTTGGACTACCTTAAATTACTACATTAGGGCTGAACAAAGTGAGCTTTTGTTCTCTATATATGCCAATGACATCACTTTGTTTCTGTATGTTTGTATGACACAAACCCATGTGTTCTGTTGAAGATGACTACACTGTTGTTCTGTGGTCAGTATCAACACTCAGGTAGGCTGCATCTTTCAGGCCACGCTCACACGAGGATAAAAAACAAAAGGCAACAAAAAGCACTCTGCACCAGTCTGAACTGTGCAACAAAAGCACTCTGCACCAGTCTGAACTGTTGAACAAAGCAGGATAACTGGGAGCTAATGTGATGTTCAGCTAATGATTAGACACACCAGACCCTACAGCATCTTTGAATGTCAATTTTTGGCAAGCTTTTGCCATTTTCAGCCTTGCTATCCTGCTGCTGTGGATATTATCTTCAGCTCAAAGGTGTGTGTGAAATGCTCTTTTACAGTGGTTGTCTGTACAGTTACCTTCCTTTCAGAATTAATTAGTTTAAAGGTCTTAGGGAAAAAGCATTTGCCAGCAGGATAAGACATCCTCTGAATTTACTTACAGGTCAGAGTCCAGTGATTAGGTTCATGTTTTCTTGATACTGGTACTGTATGACTGTGTCAGGAGGCACCGGTCGCCCTGCTAACAAATAGGAAAACTTTTTTAACCTGTTCTTAATTTTCCTCCTGGGATCGAGGCTCAGGTTTTGGCTACATTAAGGTAATCCCGCTAATCCTGCTGCCTTGACTTGTTTGAGTTTGAAAGGCAGTTGGGTGACTTTCAGTTTTATTACTGCCACTAAGTGGGTGTTTTTTTTTTCACTGATAAAAGAAATTCCACCAAGATCATTATTATATTATATAGTTACAAATCCAAACAGATATTTGTTGGATACTTATTACTCTTTTGTTACCACAAAGTGAATATCTAGACTTTTGGAATGTTTTGTTTGGGAATCCTTTCCAGCTGACCACAAACCAAAAGATCAATCAAGATTATTATACAATTATAGTAAATAAATCACTGGGGTTTTTTTTTTTTTTTTTGGCATTTTTGCCATCATTTTGTGGAGGATGAGGACATAATGAATTACAAGAATCTCAGGGTGGTGGTTTCATCTATTATGGGCTGTTTGAAACAGTTCTCTCCTGTAGGAAATGAAGCTTTTACAACTGTTCATACAACCCTGCCTTAGGAAATGACGGCTTTTACAACTGTTCATACAACCCTGCTTCGCACCATTAACACTGTCAGCAGGCAGCAACAGATTCTGGAGGAGCCCTGGTCAAACATCATGGAGGAGTGTGTTTGTGCGATGGTGGTGTTGGTGGCAGCGGGGTGTGATGACTGATTGAGTCTGCCTTTGCTGACAGGCTGATTACACTTAGTACAGTAATGCACCAGTACACCAGTGAGGGAGACAGGGAGGGGTGCACCAGACCATCCTTCATCAACCCCCACCGCCTACCACCCCACCTCCCCTCCTGCACCAGGGAGGAGGGCTATCCCAGCTCCCCATCCTCCCAGCATCGTGATCTACTCTCTGCAGTATCTCCTCCTGTTGCCAGCCACTCTGGGCTGGGTCTCCACATGAAAACACTTTACAGTCGACTCCCTTTCATTTCCGTCTGTTTCATTTCTGTTTCCACCAATGCTTTCAAACATCTGATCTCCACTGACAATGACACACTCACACAGAGAAATCTCCCAGCAACAAGTTAACAAAAATACACTCCAAACAACAAATCTTCAACAGTTGTGCTGCTCCCGCAGGAGCTGATATTTTAATTAATTTTTTTTTTCATTTATATTTGTGCTTCTTTAATGGTTCATTCGTGTGATGAAAAAAAAATTAATGGCACTTGAGTCGACTGCAGGGGAATCCTGAAGGTGCATTTTGGATTTCCAACTGGCGGAAATGCGTTTACCAACCTCTTATTTACTCCCATTGATCGCACTGATCTGTGTAAGAAGACTGTATCTACGTCAGACTGTTTATTTGGTAGGAAAGCTCACACCTGACCCATCCTCACAGTCTGTCTGTCACATCTATAAGATTTTTAAATTCAAGGGAATCCCCTTGTATTACAGCTACAAATCTCTGGACCCCAGCGCTGCACCCAAACAGGCTGTGGTTGTGTACAGTATGCAATTCCCCTGTGGTGCTCTGCAGAACATTACACTTCTGAAATTAATTTATTACTCCTCATGCAGCAGAAAACAGACTCCAGAGAATACCACAGAGTCGCTGTAAAGGCACAAAGATCAGTCCCTGACAGGAAAACTTGCATTAACCTACCAAAGGAGGACAGACATGATAATGTTTGAGATTAGAGTCTACAGTTTATCAATAGACGGTCTAATTTGAGGGATTAATCAGAAGGATATAGGAGAAAATGAGGTGGAAACAGGAAGTAATGCAACAGTAGAGATGGCAACTTATGACAACAACAAAATCAAGAGAGAAAATATATCATTAAAAGATATTTTTTTCAAGATATGGTCACCTGGCTGTGGCAATATTTTTGCGCTTTGAATAAATGTAAAAGTTATATATATATATTTATATATATATATATGTATATATACACATAACATACAACACATTTAAAATGCTTAATTGACATCCATGGATTGCGCTGGACAGGAAAACCAGCATAGCAGCGTAAAAACACACTGTAAAGACTGAGCTGCGGCTCTGGTCCCACGTTTACTCTGATATTTATGCGCAAATTAAAAGCCAAATCTTTGCCGGTTCAAAACTAGTGTTTGGATAAACATCTACCCGGACGCAGAGGCCAAGGAATCAGTGAGTAAAGTCAGAGGGTCTCAAATCATTTGAGATTTAATAAGGAGCTTGCGGTTGGTTCAGCGACCGCCGCCTCTCCATCTCCAACAGCGCCTCCAAACGCACCTGCCTTCCCGGGAGATAGAGCGGAGGAACGGTTACCTGGACTGAGGCCTCTCCCGTGGCAACGTGGTTCCCTCTCAGGTCCTCCTCCGAGGGTCCAGCCGGTCCGACTCTTGCTCTCCTGGGGCTGCTGGGGCTTCCTCACCTCGCTGCTCTCCCCGCTGGTCCGCCGACGGAGCTCCTCTCTCCTCCTCTCTGCTCCTCTCCTCAGCAGCGTCAAGCTGCCGTAGAGAAGGCCATGAGGCGTCGGAGAAGGTAGGAAGCGCTCCGGTTTTCCTTTTCAAAATAAAACTGCAGAGCGATAACATTAAATACGGGATTAAGTCTGTTTTTCTTTCCTGAGTTTGTCAGGAAGTTAGGAACATATAATATTTCGTTTAATTATTATAAATGTATTTCCTTGAGTTAAACAGTTCAAATTCAGACAATTTCCATCAGAATTATGAGCATCTTAATGCAGATGAACCCGCCTCTTCTTATGGTTTATTTTGCTGTATTCTAAAAAGCAAAAATTATAGAATATTTTCATTTCGCTGTTAGCAATTGTTAATTAGAACGATTACAAATTTTGAATTAAACATTCATGCAGTCCTAATGTTTTCTACATAGATATTGACAAGGCAACCCAACTAATTAGGGAAAAGAAAAGTCAAAATCTGTAAATATCTTTGTACCATAAGAATGAGGAAAAAAATATAGATACATCTTCATCCGTCAAGTATTTTTCAGGTTATTACGACGATGTTTTATTCTTAATTTAACTACCGGAAGTACTTTCCTTTATACAATTGTCGTCCTTTCTTTTGTCTGTTTGTCCGTAAGATTGTGGTTCCCATCCGAGGGGGAGGGGGAGGGGGGGGGGGGGGGTGGGCTGCTGCGGACTGCGCGTGCGCTAAACAATCAGGCCTGCTGTAATCCTTTTTGTCACAAATAACAAGAGGATTCTATGTTGTGTAATTAAGACCAAGTATCCGCCTAATTACAGACTCCCACTCGTGTCAACACTGGAGGAGATGTGAGTCAGAAATGAAATCACGGATATAGTTTTATTCTTTCTTAAGGGCGTTCGTCATATCAGCAGGGAATAATATAGAGGTTAAAGCCATGGCTGCTGGGTGAAGGAACAGATCGTGGTTTGATTTCATTAGTCATTAAATATCCCAGATATTCAAGATGACCAAATGCTGCCCAGTGTATACAGTGCACGTAGAAGTACAATTACAAAACAAGAGGGTTTAATGTTGTAACTTTTTATTACTCAAAAAAGAGAAAATAAGAACAGATTCCATTACATAAGCTTTTTTTCTTCTTTTTTTAAAATTTCAGCACAAAGTAACGAGCCGTGACTCATACTCTGTTGCATGTCGGGCCTTTGGTGGGTGCTCTTTTATAGCACTTTCCCAAACGTTACTAAGTAGGGTTCCCACAGTCTGAAATACACTTTCATTTAATGTCAAAATGTCTAATATTTTAACCCAACAAAGTCCCATCATGTGATGAGATCTTTTGTTGTAATTCAAACAATTCTTATCAGACATAATCGATCTTCATGCTTTGTCCTACAGATGCAGTTTAGCAGCCACCTAGTGGCCAAAAAAGTATATGTTGATATTACTGTAATTACAACATCCCATTTTAAAACAGAGTTAAATTGTTTTTCTGTTGGTCTGGCTCCATCTATTGGTCAACCACTGCTGCTCTTCCCTCCATGGAGGTGGATGAGTAATGAGCCGCCTCTGCTCTCGCCGTCCATACACTGTACAGCTGTTATTTTTCACTATATATTTTTATTTTATTACTGACTGGTCGCCGGTGTAAACACAGATGATGACAGCCGCGCGCCCCAGTTATCGCTTTCCCTGTTGTCACATGTAACGTGAACGAGCCCGGTGTTAATGTGACAAGTCACACCTGTGCTTTTCGTGACCCACATGTGCAGAGAGGAAACCTGTGAGTCTCTGAGGGGGTGTCACGGCAGACATGGTTATTGTTCACCTCTGAACCCCCTGCTGACAGAAAGTAGAGAAGCTTTCAGACAATTGATGGGCAAAGGAAGGAAACCAGACAGGAGGGAGACGCACAAATCCAACCTGAGACCGAAATATTTAATAATAAAAGTGAATTGTGTTTCTGTCAAGGTACCATTACAGTGCAGGCTTAAATTGGATATCTGTACCAAATGGGCTGGGTCACCCATTCTGTCCAACCCATTGGTACAGAATGGGTTGGACTTTTTTTCAATAATCAAAAGAAAGGGATACAATAATCTGAGATTACTTGAAGTAGTGTTGAGGCCACAAAATTATTGCTGTAAAAGTAGAAAAGTTGAAATAAAATCCCTTTTGGGGAGCAGGGAAAAAACATACATGATCCTTTCTGTTTTGTAATAAGGTGCCATTTATTAATATCATTCATCACATCTGATGAAACACTCTCCTTGACTTGTAGTATTTTCCACGTGTAATACTGACCTCAGTCATCTCAGACATCCTGTCGTGTTACTCCATCGTCCCCTCGGTTGTCAGGTACATTTGGCAGATGAAAATGGACTCTGGCTTAGCAGCAAAATGCTGTGTGTGTGTGTTTTCTGCCGCATCTCGTCTCGTTTTATCTATTTTTATAAGATGCGGACAGAGTATGGACATGAGATGAGTCTCCGCAGTTCGGTTCAGTCCTGCAGAGCCAAGAAGTGCTCGTCTGGATTTTTTTTTTCTACACACAGAACGTCTTAAGTGCTTTATGACTGCAGAGAGTCACAACCTCGTCGCACAGTTGCGGGATGTGAAGGAAAGTCGCCTTCGGGGAAAAGAGGAATGTGTTTTCTTGTTCCTGTTGTTTTAGGATGGAAATGGACTAGAACTGTTGATTTCCTGTCAGCATGCTGTTGGACTCACACAAGCACTGAGTATGAGTGTTGAAGTAGCTGCTGCAGGTGTAACAGCACACCATTAAAACCTGACCACATTGAACAGCCTCGTCTGGACAAAAGAAAACTGTCCACGTCAAAACAGTTACAACCACTTGATGCAGACTCCCAATGCAACACTTGCATTCTTGTTGTTCTTTTTTTCTCTTTGTACAACTTTAAGGCAGGAAGTTCTACTTTAAATAGCTCTTAGTCTTTAAATTCATGCCTCCCTGCACAAGTTCAGAATTTTTATTTGTTTTCTTTTTTCATAGTTTAAATAGAAGATGGGAAGCCTGGAAGTAGTCTAGAGTCCATCAGGCCTGATCCACTTGAACCAAAGTCAACATCAGCCTCCAGGTGTTTGTGCTACGCCATGTAAATGAAGGTGTTTATATCAGTCTCGTCCCGCTTGATGTACTTGTGATCGATCAACCACTCGATCTGCTCCTTGATCATCTTCTTCTGTGGTAAAAACATGTTCTTCAGGATCTCCACGAGCTCCGTCTGCAGCTGGGCGTTGTTGATGCGTTTCCTCATCTTCATGATCTGTATTATGGCCTCCTGCAGGTGGTAAAGTTAGAACAAATGTGAATCGGGGAATTTTACCGTATCCTGTGACTTTGACAAAAGACACAAAACCACCAACGTCTGCTCATGTGAATGATGAGAACTGTTGGGAGGACAGCATTTGTTCACAGTAGGTAGTGTTACATAACAGCAGACGAAGAACCGTCATGCTGTGGGCTCACCACAGTACCTGTGTTCTTAGTATCCTGAGCTGGACGATGCCCTCGTTCTCCTCTTCTCTCATTCGTTCTGTGGTGAGCTGCAGTCGACCAATCAGGTTAATTTTACCTCTTTTTTGTACCTTTGAGTTTTTTCTGTAGGTGTGAAACAAAGCAGAGCACAGCATCAAAGTACAGCTCATGGATGGCAAGAGGAACTTGATTTTGATTTGTGTTTTTTTTTTCTCCAACTTTGTTACAGCACATATTCTTTCATCTTTTTGACAACCTTAAAAACAGTCACAGCCTTTAATATGGTAGTTCTTACATTAGAGAAAACTCCTGGTTGACGTAGAAGAGTGTTCCTTCTGCAAAGTCTTTTGGTGAAGACACCACAGGGTCGTACGACAAAACCTGTCGCTTCAGTTTAGGAAAAGCTACAAGAGACTGTCCGGACAGAGAGGAAGGTTTTTAGTTTTAAAAATGCATTAAACTGGGGCTTTAAATCACTTCTGTAACCAAGAAACATTAAGTTTTAGATTGTTTTTCTTTTACCCAGAGGGTGCGTCGTAGTTCTGCGTCCGGCAGCTCAGTGGCAAGCTTGAGGTTTTCAAAACTGATCCTTTCTCTGGGCCTTTGATTCCAGGCAAAGAGCACAGCTAGCTGAAATGTAGTCACCTCTAGATCGTACTGGCCCACCTCATTTTTAAATGTAATCTGTAGAAATGAAACGCATTATACATTAGTCCATTATACAGAAAATCTATTAGGACCCTTCATTTTATATTATTACATCATCTGTTCTTACAATGCCATTGGACATGAGGTGATGCCAGTGAAGCTTCCTGCCACTGTGATTCTTCTTGTAGAAATCCTCCACCTCTGGTATCAAATCTTCCAGTTCTGTAGGAAGGGAGACAAACACCTTCTCGCTGCTCCTGGACCAGGCTCCGGCATTTAGGATTTTAATGTTGACAGAGTCGGCTGTAGAGAGACAGAGACATTATAGAAGGGGTGGTATACAGAACTTAATAGACCAGAACAGAACCTAATGTAAAAGACTTTTCATCATCCTCAGTTGCACATTGAAATGACATCTTGTGTAAAGTGAATATAAGTTTGTGATGTAGATGTCAATCTGACCTGGCAAGGCAAGCTTGTTATGCTTGTGCATTTCTTTAAACGACTGGTTGAGGTCCTCTGAAACCTTGATGTCCTGAAACATCCTGGCCAGTTTGTTGACATAGTCAGCTGGCATTCCCACCTCCTGATGAGAGCAATAACACAATTTATATTGTTAAAAACTGTTATTTTACTTGAACTCTCTCACGCAAACACACACATGCAAACACACACACATGCCGTGCCTACCCTGAGCCACTCCACCATGTTCTCCTCTATTTCACTGTCTGCTGAGATGTCCAGAATGAGACGCCGTGTCAGGTGGGCTTTGTGGTATCGCATGAACACATCTTTATTCTGGACGTACTTAAGCACTAACAACTGAAAAAAAAAAATCAAAATTCAAGGTTCAGTTTAAGAGTACTTTGTGTTTTATAAGTCTACGATTTTAACCGTGACAAAAAAAAAAATCAAGGTACAGTATATTGACTCAAGTGTGATTTACCACTTCTTTAAGCTTGGCTTCAATCTCTTCAGACGTGAGCTTTTTGCTCAATGGCGTCTTCCTTAACAACATGTCGCAGTAGTTGGCCAGCAGCTCTGGACATTTGGACTCTGGTTGAGTTTTTAGGCCCACACTGTGAAAACACAAACCAAAGATTGTAACTCAGAAATAACCTCTTCAGTCATCGACTTCAGAGAGTGTGTGTGTGTCTTACCCTTTCTGTTTCATAGGAAGTTCTAATTTAAATATAGTGGCATCGTTTACTACAGCTTTGTATGCCTGCGGAAAGTTTGGGGGAGAAAAAGAGTTAATTAGATTAGCACAGAATGACTGGAAACCACTGCTGTGTACTGTCAATGGTCAAGGAGGTGAATGTTGCACTCACTTTATCTCTGGCCGTCAGGAAACGTGGATCGTCCTGAAAAGCTTCCTTCACCAGTCGACTGAAGCGGTTGAACAAAGTGAGGAGCTGCTCAACATATTTCTCAGAATCCTGATAAAACAGAGTTTCACACATTATTAACATGTTTGCCTTTTCTTTCAACAACATTATATCAGGGTCGTTAGGCAGGTTTTTCAGCATTACAAAGTGATTGTTATTACAACAGTACAGCAGTGATTTGTCTCAGTGAGTTAAATATTTTAACACCACACTGATGCCTGTGTAAGTCTGGACATGTCTTACTGAGGTGATTGTCTCTGCTGAGGCCACCATGTCTGCCAGGCCAGCACTCATGATGTGCTCCTCCAGGTCCTTCAGCATGGGCTCGATACCATTGGGCACCTTGTCCATCAGAGAGAACATCAGATGGAGCTCTGTGATGAAGAAAAAGTGGAACAAAGGGTAAGTGGGACCACTTCCTTGTCAGACCAGAAGCTGGGAGACTCAATAGTAAATAGTTGGGTCATTTAATTTAAAGAAACTTTAAATTTACTTTAACTGGGACCAGACCCACCTCAAACTGCAGTAAAGTGTAGTAAGTCTAAGTGGGTTCAGAACTACAGGAGTTTGTTCTCAGCTATTTCCTGTTGCAAACCTGAGCTGGCTGAGCCTTTGGTGGAAGCAGTCCGGCCGTACTCACTCTCTGTTTCGTTTCGTTTGATCATGCCTGGACATTCAGCCAAGATGGTCTCCTTGAACGACGTTACAAGGGCGTTCACACAACACTCCATTAACTGTGAAGATGAGCAGGAGATAAAGAGTTCAGATGCAGTCGACTTAGTTTAAGTAAATAATGAAATCAACGGTTAAACAGCTGTGAGGGAATCACAACATTCCCTGAAGAGAGGCAGGAAGATAACAGAAACACAGGGAGGTTTACTGATACCAACATAGTTATTTCAGAATAAACTGATTAAAGTTCATGAAACAAAAACCACTCACTGCTTGCACAGAGTTACAGTCTCGCCTCGTTTCCAAATATCTCAGTGCGCGTTTCTCCTCTTCCCTCAATTTTGAATCAGCCTAAACAAAACACATAAAATACACACAAGGAAAAAACTCATCACCATCATTTTTAAAAAAAACATTGTTATATTAATAATTCCATCATTTGGATTAGTCACAAAAGAAAACAGGTGTGAAACACACACATCTACCTGCTGGTATTTGTCTTCCTGTTCCAGCGATAAACAGACATTTTTTTGCTGATTTACCTCGATTAATCATAATAAATCAGGATAGCGATTAATCATGATTAATCCACGACTAACCTGTGATTAATCAGATTAAAAATATGGTTGTATGACAGCCCGAGTTATAATAAACACCAACAAACACATTCTCAGGGCTAGAAATACAGCCAAGAGTTAAACGTACATATTTCATGTAGTTTTGAACACCATTTTGTTGGAGGTAGGCTGGTGCCTGTGTTCTGTAGAATCTCTCAGTGGAATCCATGTACGCCTTCTCAAAGTTGTCCCTGTAGATCTGCAGCTTGTCATCAGGGTTAGAGCACAGGTTCACTGAGGAGAGAACAATACAAAGGAGGAATAAGTCACAACATTGTTTTATTTTAAAGGGGCATCTTTGATGAGACTATAATCACATGTTTTCACTATCACCAACCGTAGGACTCCCGCACTCCGATGACCAGCTGAGAGTCAAAGGCTTCTCCCAGTCGCTCGGCATGGACCAGTTTCATGGCACTGTCTTGTAGCCTGTTCTTAATATTGGAGAAAATAGACTCGTTCCACGTGTCAAGCATCAGCTACAGAGGAGACGGTAACAAAAAGAGAGGATCATTAGTGGTACACATCCCATTAGGAATGCACCAGGAATAAAAGCAGTAAATTATTTCATTTACACTCTAATACTTCATCTGACCTTGCGAACGATGCTGTCCTCCACGTTGGATTTTTTGTTGCTTCCCTGCTTGCCCATCAATGTGATCTCCAGCTGACAGAAGGGCTTGGGCAGGATGTCACACTGTGTGAAGAACTTCCTCCACTCCACGATGTAGGCCTTCAGCAGCGCTGTGTCATCCTGATGACTCAACACTCGCTAATACAGGGTGAAAAAAAAATAGAAGGTTGGAAAAATATCTGCAAAGTATAAAATTAATTTAATAAAATATTACTGATCCAATGAAGAAACCTTAACCACAAGAAACCTAAACCACAATAATACAAAAAGCAATCAGTGACTCCCCCACTCTTACAGCTTGTGCTTGTTTAATGAAATCAAGTATGTCCTCTTTGAGGGCCTGGTGGATCTTAGCAGGACCTTTGTCATCCCACAAACATACAGCATGGACGTCTCTGCGGAAGTAAAGAAAGACATTCATTAACTGTCCCGATAGTTTTTGTTGCATGTTTAAAATGAGACTCATGGACGTAAACTTACGAGAAGAGGTCGAACCACTGTTGTTTGGTGACAGACTCCTGCCGTAAAAGCTTCAGTACTATGGGACGCATCAGATCCCATTTATCTTCAAACTGAAGCGAGCCTTTGTTCTGGAGGCACAGGGGAAAATCGGAAAGTAAAATTCTTCAACTGGATATGAATTTTGAAATAGTTTTTACGTTGAAGCCTTTAGCTTGTCACCATCATTTACAACAAACTGTGATGTCATTTAAAAACAAATTTGGAATCCCCACTCTAAGTGTAGTACCAGCACTAAGGGTGGGTGGCAGCAATGCACAAAACTAGGCTCAGTTTGTCATAAACATAACAGGCAAACACTTAAGATTTTTCAATCTTAAGTGTTTCAATAGTATTTGTTGGCAACAATTAAGCACAGTACTGTATATGGGCTTCATACATAGACAGAATATAGACGAATAAAGCTGCATTGAGAGGACAGGCAAGTTGATGGGCCTATGTTCTAAATGCACTTCCAAAACTTGCTTGAAAAAACAACATTCAAACGTGTTGTAGACAAAAATGAACATCAGACTTAATGTGCAATATATCTAGCAGACTGTAAATAAATAATATGCAATAGCAAGCTTCTCTGACAGGAGAACCTCAGTAATGGCACAAGGGATCTGCATACAAACTTCCTAATTTGATCATTTTATGATACATAAATAAATGCTCTAAACGTGCTGTGGGCAGCACGTATGGTTCATCATTCCTCCAGAAGAATAATAACTAATGCTTTATAACCGGTGCACAGCTGTAGTGCTCCTAGCTCTCCAGCTGTCACCTGTGCTGCTCTATTTCTTTGCTGTATTAGACACAGAGCCATATGTGCCTGCTCACTAAGCATCACGAACATAATAGCAAGAGAATAACTTATGGTCAGAAACTAGTAATGTTGTGCCTTTCCAGAGCTTTTACTCCTAATAAATCTTTCAATTGAAGCTGGGCTTTAGCTGTAGCACTCTGAGCCTCTGGCTGACAGATGATAGGAGGTTTAAAGCGAACGTAAACACAGACTGAGGTTGTACTGTGCGTATATGGCGCATGATGAGACGGTATTCTTCATTTTCCTCTCATCTAACGTTCTGAAGTATTTTCGTCTCCATGGTCCTTCCCTCTTTGATTCACATTTAGCTGCAGCTTTACTGTTTAGCCCAAAATCACTGATATGCACTTAGCCAGCGTTAGCCAGATTTAAGTTGAATGTTTCCTGCAAAAGTCACCGCCGACAGCAGAGTGGTGCAACTGCGGGCTGCGCTCCTCGGTAAAGATGGCGCCGATCTCTGTCATTGATGTTCGCAGGTGACAAGTGCCGCAGCGAGCATTAAAAACAGAAAAATTGAATTGGAGTGGATCCTACCTTTAGCAAATTAGACGTCGCCATGTTCCCTCAACTTATCCTCCCGCAAAGTCTCGCGAGAACCATACGGCTGCAGAAGGAGATGAAGAATGAAGCAAAGCATCGTCAAGATAACAGAAGAAAATGGTTCAATAATTAAAATTTTAAAGTATATTTTTATATAAAATTACGGTATTATGAATGACGGGTACAACTATTTTGTCTGCTCACAGGGATTTCTCACTTTCTTCAGCAAAATAATTAAGTTGAACAGTTATAAATGGCATCTGTGTTTTATTTCAAACTTGATAAAACTATAGGTGCATTTTGTTACATTTTACACACACACACACACATATATATATATATATATATATTTCCTCTCAATCATTTTTTAGATTGTGTTTTTGTTATCTCACATTTCCCATGTTCTCGTTATTGTTTGCGAGACACAGCATCTGGCCACGGCAGTAAGATAAATAAAGAATGATAACAAACCATACCCGTCTCAAGAAACAATAACAATCCTTGAATATATTTTCCTTCACCAAATGACCTGCATGAGATACGGGTTTCCTGTTACTCTACCAGATGGTTCTAAAGTGGACTAAAGTTCACTTAAAGAAGACATGACAAACCTGAAAATGAGCGGACATTCAACTCTGAATGGCCATCTGTAAAATTATGATAATTTGAATGTGTTATGTTCTTGGAAAATCCATTGCACATTAAAGTTTACAAGAAATTACAACCCTTTTTAACATTTAGGCAATGTCGTATGGAAAAAATCTGATATTTGATATCATGTTTGCTTTTTTCCTTCTCTGACAAACATCGCTTCAATGTCTTATATGATGTATCACTATTCTATAGTTATATAATATTATAAATGCCGTAATTTTTTTTATACCAATCAAAAACGTTCCGCTTTTCTTGTGTTTGGCAGCTATTCAAGTTTGCCTGCGCGGTGCTGACGTCATTCAGTTCTTTAGGCTAACCAATCAGATTCGTGGTAGGCGAAGACACATAGCACCACGTTAGGTTGATCCCGTCAAATGGGGAAACATCGCCGCGTGGAAGGAGAGTCCGTGAAAATTTGACAATGAGAAAAAAAATACATATGCGGAGTTTTAATCAATCTGTCATGACTGAAACTAAGACCGTAAGTACACATGGTTTGTTTTTGTTTATTTATGTTCATATTTTCTTTGTTTTTCTATTTATGTATGCCGACTTTCAGTTGAGGAAAGGCAGGCGGTAAAATGTCTTCACAAAGTGGGCACACAAAAATGCATTAGAAAAAGTTAGAAATACAGATTCATGTTGCTAATTCTCACGATGCATTCAAGTGGTATTCGGGATATCAAAACTGTCAGAAATCAAAAGCTTGTCATTCGCATTCTCTTTCCCCCTTTTTGTCAGCACATTTTTAAACCATATATTCTGTAGCAGGTATTTAAGATTCTTTTATGAAGATGATAGGGGGCCAAGGGTGGGAATCACATGAGATTAATCAGGCACATGACAATTCTGTGGAAATCGGCTATATCTGCTGCCAGGATAATCTAATCAGAACAAGGAAGTGAGATGTTGACCTGTTTTCTTTCTTTCCTTTAGGTTTAAGTCCTAAAGAAATGGAGGGACGTGCGCAAGAGAGACTGTGGGGAAAATGGAAGGTTGTGTGTGGTTTGCATAATTACAACATAAGGGATGTGTTCACATGGTGAGTACAGAACTAAGTGTTTACTGTGAATTTCCAACATGGTACAGAGTATGTTGAAAACTAGTATAACTAACAACAGGATCAAAAATAACGTTTCATACGATTGCTTAGAATTAGGTATTTAATTTTAATCAAAACATTTGGGCTTTCTACATTTACATTTCATACATTTTGGTAATTTATTTGTTTTAGTAATATATATTTTTATGTGTGCTTTTAACGATATAGCATTTCTATCCACAAATTACACATAGCAATTATTAAGCTACTTTTTAGATGCTCTTGGTTTTAGATGTTAATTGTTGGCTTTTTTTTGTAAAATGTAGAACTTGCCTTAGTTATGGTCTAGTTTATATGTTAAATATTTTGGGTTTGTTTTGTTTTTTTACCTTGATTGACTTGAAGTTTAAAAAACGATTATTATTGTTATTGTAACTTATAATGTAAAACATCTTCCTCTGACCTTCAGGCAACTGCTGAAGACTGTGGCCATGGGTCAGGTCTTGTCCCTGCTGATCTGTGGGACAGCAGTGAGCTGTCAGTACTTGGCGGAAGCCAAGGTGGAGACGCCAATGCTGCAGAGTTTCCTCAACTACGCCCTGCTGCTGCTCGTCTACACCACCATCCTTATCACACGGAAAGGTCAGGATTTCTGATCAGGATAATATAATTGAATGAGGAGACTTTGTGTGACCTGTTTTGTCTTTTCTTTCCTGATTTTGTTTTTTGTTTTATTTCTGCAGGTGAAAGAAACATTGTACAGATTTTAAAGACAAAATGGTGGAAATATTTAGTGATGGGTGTGGCAGACGTGGAGGCAAACTACGTAGTTGTACGAGCGTACCAGTTTACAACTCTGACCAGTATCCAGGTGAGAATAAACGGATTAATTACAGCTTAACATATCAGAAAAAAAATATTATTAATTATTAAGTTTGGTGAGCCAGTGGCTTACTGTAAATCAGCAAAATGTCTTTACATTTTAGAAAAAAAAACTTGTTTAAAAATGGCTTCTCATCAGCACTTTAGTTCAAGATCCTGGTTTGTTTTTGTGTCTTTCAGCTGCTGGACTGTTTTGTGATCCCAGTGCTGATGCTGCTTTCCTGGATGTTTCTGAAGACGCGCTACAGGCTGGTCCACTTTGTAGCTGTCGCTGTGTGTTTATTGGGGGTGGGGACCATGGTGGGGGCCGACATTGTGGCCGGAAGAGAGCAGGGTTCTTGTGAGGATCTTTGTTTTGTGTTTTTTTTGTTTTGGAGGGTGCAAATTTTTCTCACGTGGGGCAAAAATAGAAACATGTTTTAAACTATTCTGTTAAAAAGTTATTGTCTGTTTGTTCAGCCTCTGATGTTCTGCTGGGAGACGGCTTGGTTCTGCTCAGCGCCGTCCTCTATGCTGTGTCCAACATGTGCCAAGAATACACAGTGAAGAACCTGAGTCGTGTGGAGTTCCTGGGCATGATGGGCCTTTTTGGGACAATTATTAGTGGCATTCAGCTGTAAGTTATGGCTCAGCTTTGACTAAACAATCTAAACAACTTCAATAAGACACGGTTGAAGCTGTGATGAATTACAACTCCTACTTAATAATTTGCAAACAATAATAGCAATAACATCCTTGTGCACTAAATCTAGTACTGTCATAAATTATCATATCATAAGTACATGCAGCTGTAAATTGGATGAACATTAACTATTAATATTTCTCACTCTTTGTTACCTATTATTACAGTGCTGTATTGGAAATCCCTGCAGTCTCAGCTATAAAGTGGAATCTTCACATTTGTAAGTTATTTATTTATTATTTTTCACAATAATGTCACAGCCACAAACAGTTTCCCTGAGTTTCCATCTTCTCTGTCACCGTCTTTGTCATGTTTTTGCTGCAGCCATGTTGTTTGCGGTCTACGCTCTGTGCATGTACGCCCTCTACAGCTTCATGCCAGTGGTGGTGAAGTTAACCAGTGCTACTGCGGTCAATCTCTCTCTGCTCACTGCTGACCTCTTCAGTCTGTTCTGCGGTCTATTTCTCTTCCACTACAAGGTGAGTGTCATTAAAAAATCCACAATGATACTTTACTAAGTCATTTTTTGATTAACTAAACAAAACCTTTGAAGAGTTAAAAAAAAAAAAAAGAACTAAACATAACCTTTGAAGAGTTAAAAAAAAAGATTTTTTACACGTTACATTGGCTTTAGTGGATACTCTCTCAAAACTGGAATTAGTAAAATCTGGAAATTGGCTTTAGTGGGTACTCTCCCAAAACTGGAATTAGTAAAATCTGGAAAAAGATGGATTCAGTTATACATGTTTTTTTTGTGCCTTGCACAAACTCTACAGAGAAAAACTCTTTAGCGTGACGACGTGAGCGTATCTCTGTCTTCTTTCTCAGTTCTCAGCCTTGTACATCGTCTCGTTCGTCATCATCACTGTTGGCTTCATCATGTTCAACGCCGTTCCCACCTACACTCCTCTGACTGACGAACCCGCTGATCACTCGGCTGATCCAGCGAGTCGGAGCGCTTCTGCTGCTACACACCTACTGACGGCGGACAGAGAATCTCCAGGAACTGAGGCGGTCATCGCCGTCGCTGCTCTTTGACAGAAACACACTGGAGACACAACATAATCTTAATCATAAGTTCAGCGAGACTGCAACATGTAGATATGAAGAGACTTCATTGCGACCTTATGACATTCAGTATTTGATTTTATAAGATTTTTTTTATCTTCATCGTACCATTTCCCTCACCCTCAGCTGGGTTCTCAACCCCAGGGCTGTTTTACAGTATTGGTGAAAAATGCACTTACCAGAAATCACACAAGGTCTGCTTTGGCTGGTAGATGTACTGAGTCCATATTTATAAAAACATTTTTATGAAAAAATATTGTTTTAACTGCACATGTATGGTCTGTATTGTTTACGCTGAAACTGATTTGTTACCTGTTTTACTAACATGTTTTTTTGTAGGTTTGTTCAAATCAACGGGTTAATTAATTTGTAAAAAATGATTCTAAATGAAAATTTTAATCTATTATAACGTATTGAAACAATGACATGTGTGGTATATCCAGTTATCGGTGCTCTAATAAACAGTCACTACACACTTAATCAAATACACAGATTTTAAGAGCTTAAAATAACATCTAATCCAGTGGAGATATCAACTTCTGGTCCGGTGGGGAGCTGTTTTGTTTGTATTATCAAATATTGTAGGTTGGGTGCCTTTCTCTAAATTTTTATAATAAAATAATTTTTTATATACTTGTCCTTATTCAATTCTAGTTTTTGTGAAGCTTTGTTCAACATAAAATTTTTCTCATCTTCAGCTGAATGCTGCAGCACTCACTTCAACCTCTGCTTCCTCACTGACTATCATCATCATCCTCATCATCATGGAGGAAAGGACTGTATAGCCGAGTGGAGTAAATTCAACATCGCTTCCCCAGCTGCCATATCCCGGGCTCCTTTTTTCAGCTTCCCGTTGAGATTTGTTTCGGTAAGAAAGAAAAATCTTCTATATGTAATGACATGTATCGTTTACTGGACGCAATCGTCGTTTGCTGTTGCTATTGTGAGCATATAGTGACTAGTGTTCAAGCAAAACATCGAGGACCGCGATCCTCTATTACGATATTATATATTTTATAAAAGGTATCATGGGGAACCCATTTTCGTTATCGAATTCTTATAGTCCGATGTCGTGTCATTCATCTTTGAATTGTGATTAAAAACAATGAAAGCGCCTGAAAACCGCAGGAGAAACCACAGAAAAGAGCCGCAGTTTACGTACGCGTTAATCCGTCAGCACCACGGACAGCTCCACAGCACCGGCGCTGTCCGTGCTGCTGGAGGGTTTAAGCGACTGCTTCCACGGTAAACTCCCGGCTCCGGAGTTCGACCTGCGGCCTTATTTCACCAAGCACTGACCCGCTTTCTTCTTCTCCATTCCTCCAGGCCTCCCCCCTTCAACAGAACCGCGACAGCGAGGTGACAGGCAGCCAACATGAAGCATTTCCTCCGGTAAACATATTCATTCCTTATATTTTTTTATTACATTTTTTACCGATTTCCGAACCTTCGAGGATCTCAATCACACATCAGAATCAGCACCACGTCTTTATTTTGTGTTTGCACATGCAGTAACGGAATGATTACGCTACACTGATCCCTGTAGTTCATCGTTTAAGCTTTAAACACTCGGTAACAGCAGCTTCTGTGGTGTGGATGGCATTTCAAACGGCTGTAATTGCTAAGCGTGTGGGCCTCAAGTAAAACAATAAAAATATCGCTCTTTTACTGTTTCTGTTAATAGCTCTAATTCTCAACTAAACGGACTATTAATGGATCAGTGCCTTTTCGACAGGCTTTTCACAGCATGCCTCACTCTTTTCCCCCCTCAGAATCACATTCACCACTTAATCTTTATCCCATTTATTTATGATGCTGTGGATAAGGTACTTCAGTTATTTTCCTGACCTGTAAAGAAAGTGTGGATTATTAAAAAAACTCTGTGTAACAGAGCTTGTATGAAATAAATACTTAGACGGACATTAATGGAAAGAATAAAACCTGGAGTTGTGCGTTCTGTGAATCCTTCCACTCCGTCTCTCATTTTCTTGAAGGTTAAGAAAATGACAGAGAGACTATATGAGCTGTTTAAAATGCTGCTCTCGTCCAGAGGCTGAAAAAAGAAGGGAATTAATCCTTCAGGACTGTACCAGCATTTCTGTTTCCTTCTTTTTCTAGACGAGGACGATTGAGTGTTGCAGATATCTGACTGCAAGGTTTATCTCTAATAAAAAACAAATCAAATCACTGTTAACTCCATTTCACCAGCACAACAAAACAAAAACAAAAATCACAGCCCTGAGGATTCAAATATAATAATAATATTTGTTATATACAGAAAACATCAGGGGAAATACTCTGCTAAAATTAACTGTGGTTGACAATTACAGAGATGCTGTGTTAGATTACAAGGACATTTGTCATATTGTTATAGTTGCAGACTGAGGATCCACAGTTTCTTATTGGGTCACTTTGCATTCCCCAAGACACACGCCTTCATTTTCTGTCTCAGTGTCACCTGTAAAAATAGCTCACTTTGATGATCTGCTGCAGGATCCCCTAGGTAGATGTGAAGAAATGAAACTTGCGTTTCTTTTTTCTTTAAATGCCTCTGGCTCGGCTTACACTCAGCTCATCATTTATACTGTACTGTATACTTTTGTGGGGGTTCTCCCCTTTGTTATTATTTGAGATTAAATTATTATTCTTCAACACTCTTTACATTATTTGACAGAAATAGTTTAAAATATTGATGAAGAGCTAGAAATAGTAATGCAAAAATAACGACGAGTTAGCGAAGAATAATAAAACAATTACTCAGTGTAAGACGAAAAGAAATATCAAAAGGACAATTACAGAAAGATGCATCAAATATATTAGCCTAGAAATAGTTTAATGTTAACACAAAATAATAACGAGGTTTTTCACAAAAAAGATAAGACTGAGCTAAAAGTAAAAAATGTCAAAACAGAGCCTGAATTCCGAGAGAACTTTTTGACATTTTGTAAGTGTCAAATGTTCCAGGTACATATTATTATACATTTGGATTATTATAATGTTATTATAATGTTGTTTTCTAATTTCAATTCCTCTTTGTCCTCTTCCTTGTATATTGTTAGAGTGGTCACCCAGTTCTTTGTGTTCCTCTACTGTAAACTACTGTGGCGAGGCCTGAAGTTTGTCATCAGGAAGTTCACTGGACGATGTGAGCTGCAGAGGATCTGCTACAACAACAAACATGGAGCACGCAGGACCCTCAAGATAGGTGGGTCCAAATGGAGCTTAAAACAGTCGCTGCCTTTGTATATTCTCCCAAATATTAATGTAGATTTAATTTCCTTTCAGAGTCATCTCTGAGGTTCTCCAAGAGTGGGGTAAGAAAAGAATGATAGAAAAGTTATTTTGTGTATGAATAGGTTCAGCTACGCTCCAGTGTTTCCTAAACAACAACTGTTTATTTCTTTATCTCCCTCTCTCCTGTCTTTTATTCATCTTCACCCTCTATCTCTCTGCCTCTCTCTCTTTGAAGCTCCTGCAGTCTGCGCTCAGTGTCCATCCAGACAAAGTGGAGAAAACCATTGACGAAATCATGGCCTTAAAAAAGATCAACCCTGACACCAACCCACAGTGAGTCACTACAGTAGATCACATGTCACGTCCCTGTAGCTTCAACACTGAAAGTTACTGTGTGAAAACCTAAAGTGTTGACACAGCTCTTTGGATTGACATCTAACTTGTCTTGTTACAAAGTTCAGGACAAGACAGTGAATAAATACCATTATTTTTTATTTTTACTTTTTTTAATCTGAAAATTAACTTTCTAACTTTTATTTTTACTTTTTTTAATCTGAAACAACTTAAAAAGAAAGGCTAGATAGTCAACCTGCACTTCCTGCCTTCTGTGCCTTCTCTCTCTGCAGACTCGGCATCTCGCTGCAGGCCAGTCTGCTGCAGATCGTGGGTTACAGGAGTTTGGTGATGGAGGTGGAGAAGCTGCGGAGAGAGCCTTACGACTGCGAGAACCAGGAGCACGAGGACATGCTGATGAAGGTGCATTAACTGCAGAGCAGAGCAGACAGGACAAAACACTGAATAATCTCTCTGTGAGCACAAAACAAAACACAAAGATCATGATGGATCTTGGTAGGATATAATAAAAATGTAACGTTCGTGGTTGTTGGTTGTTCTTAAACCACCGTTTTATTTTTATTGTGATTGATTTAAAGATTTTTTTCCATTTTTCTTTCCCAGCTGTGGAAGGAGCTGCGCCCTGACACGCCTCTCAGCGGCCGCATCTCTAAGCAGTGGTGTGAGATTGGTTTCCAGGGTAGTGATCCGAAGACTGACTTCAGAGGGATGGGCCTGCTGGGTCTGCACAACCTGCTGTAAGAACTTAGTCTGTGAAACACCGGTCACGCTCCAAAAACATGTCAGATAATGCCACGCTCTCTTGGCGCTGGCATCTGTGAGAAAGTCAATAAGCACTTAGACTGGCACTTGGAAAACGTTTCTTTTCTTTGCAGGTATTTTGCAGAACATGACAAAGCTACTGCTCTGCAGATGCTCAACGACTCGCTGCAACCAAAGCACAAGTAAGTCCAATAATATAAGCTGAGGCGGCTATAACGCAGAGCGCTAATTAGTTAGCTGGAGGTAACATTCATTCATTTCTTATATGTAAAGTTAGTTAAAGGTCAGTGGGGAGGTTAGGACAGAAGTTACAAATGACGTAGGAGTACTGAGATCCTCATTTTGTTCCACCTGACTTTACATTTACAGTAACGTTATGACATTCATCTGCACGGCTGCATTGTTTGCGCTGACACATCATTTAACAATCACTGCCGTCTGTTTGTTGGCATGGTGGCGAGCTGTCTCATTTGAAAAGACTTCTGTTCTGCTTTTTTTCCATCGCATTCACCTTTCTGCCCACACACCTCTGCCTGTCTGTTCCTCTCATTCACTGTACAGGAGCACACACCGAAAACCAAGGTACTTCCATTCACTTCACATGGACGTCTCATTCATTGCTTTGCTCTTTTACATAAATGTGTTTTGAACAAATCAATTCCATGATCCATGGGGTAATTTTAAACAGAAAAATTATACACATACCTTTGCGGTTGTAGAGTTTAGTGATTGATTTAAATTTGGCAGAAAAATATAATTAGTTAGTAGTAAGTGTTTTCTCCTGATTAAATGTAAATAAATCATCCGTTTTTCCCCCACAGTGAAATGAGCAAAGCTGAATGGGAGCAGAAGAGCCTGGAGAAAGCTATTGGGTAAGACGGTGCACATAAAGTGTGTGTGTTTTACATGTTGTCTGAAACCTCCTCCTCCTCCTCCTCCTGTCATGTCCACCAAACAGTAGAACTGACCACTAGTCTGTGCTAACGTTAGCTCAGGTGGTAACAGGTTAATATTCTCCTTCCTCCAGCTACTCCTTTGCCATCGTGGGCATCAACATCACAGACCTGGCCCACTCTCTGCTGGTGAGTGGAGCGCTGAAGACTCACCTGTACAACGTGGCTCCTGAGCTGCCCAGTCTGCTGCACCTCCAGCAGACCTTCTGTGAGTAGGAGCTATACACTGTCATATACTGTACAGTACAGTACTGCAGTATAACTACAGTAATATAAACTTTATGGACATTGGCTTTGTATTTTACAGATTACATTTTTTTTTAATTCATGACAGGTTACCTGATGCAGGAGTTTCACCGTTTCTGGATCGAGGAGGACCCAAGTGACATCATGGAGTTCAACCGTGTCCGTTCCAAGTTCCACCGGAGGATCCTGCGACAGCTGAAGAACCCCGACATGGTTCTTTGCCCCCACTTCTCTGCCTCTGACCTCCACCTGGTCAACCTTTAAAAACATACAGACCACATGCACACACACACACTCCCCTTGACTCCTCACCACGTCCCACACCTCTGAGCCCTACACGCACACACATCATGGTGTTTTTTTTGGTTGACCTTCTGGAGGTCAGCTCGTTCTGTACATCTAAACTCTGATGATTAGTCCTACAGCTGCACACATCTGGTGAGGATCCTCTCTTTTCTGTCCCAGCTTTTTCTGGTCATGATGTTGCATCACTGCCAACAGCTGACACACAGACACACACCGACAGTACACACCCACAACGACATGGATACTGGCTGGCACAGCTTGTGGGGAGTAGTGCGGACTTCACATGATTTTAAAAGACAGTCTAGACAATCCTAAAAATGTTCAGCGCAGGGCTGTGACAAAACTGAAATATTAGTCTTTTTTGGAAATATATAAATTGAAAACTTAAAATAATGTCCTTGCTTAAGAAAATGATAAAATGACTTTGCGACACCAAAAATGATTGTATTTAAAGAACAGTACAGGGAGGGGGCAGTGTTGCTCCATGCACTTCATCTGACTTATTGACTAAAGGGATAATATACGTATGTCGATTACTTGGTTCATATTTTAGGAAAAACAGTTTCATACAAACGTGATGTTTTTGGTCCTTATGATTAAACAAGCTGTGGTACCCACAATGCTATAGATACCGGTATCTGCACACACACACACACACACCAAACACACACACGAATTGCTCTCGCTGCAGTGTCAGACCACCAGCATCAGAAATGACTACAGCGATTGTAGCTGAGCACCACTAGGCTGCGCCGTCCTCACCGTTACACCTTCATTGCTTTCTCGCTGTTTTCGCTTTAATGAGTCATAACGATTGTATCTCAGCCGTTACACCTCAGTCGTTCGCTAAATATCCACTTAATTTAGAACCAAACACGCTCACCCGACCAAAAAGAAGACTTAATTATTGTCATTTCAGTATTTCACTCTTAGCACTTAGCTACTGATTCTTAAGAGGGACTGCACAACGCGTAACAAGAAAGACGTAATTTCAGTCGATGAAATCGAAGATCGATTGATAAGGTCTGACCCTTGATATATAAATCACATGAAGAGTTATATACGTATTAAATGTACATCTGAATAGCAGAAGAAAATGGTATAATTTAGTACCGATAAAAAGCAGTCCCACAACATAGACCCAGTTCGCCTCTGTCTGTATAAGCTACATCACGATAGATTGTATTCTACTGTAGTTACTGTAAATGTCATCAGGACGTTGCATTAACACCTAAGACATCTACTTATTGCCAAATTGTCAACTGTGAAGAGTTCATATTTAACTAACTTTTAAATGTTATCCTGTAAAATTTAGTTATTCTTTGGATTATTTTAAGGTTATTATGTATGTAATTTATGTCATACATTTATATCAGGGGGGCTTAAAAAACTTTGCCTTTCATTTGATGTCGTGTTTACAATACGGTACCTTCATTTATGAATGTCTGCATCATTGATTGTTTGATTTAAGTTGGTGAATGTCATAATGTCGAATCTGCCAAAGCAATAATTTACATCTCTGCAAATGACTTCAAATGTTTGTTTGTTTTGCTGTTTGCATCACATGTGCCTACTGTACGTGAGTAGTTGCGCCTAAAACAGAGCTGAGATGTGAATTACATTAATGCTACATACTATAAGTATAACAGTACTAGAGCCTGGAATATCACATAGGTAGATGCCTACGACCATTTTGGGGGAAATACATTATAATTCATGAACTCCCAGTTTATAAGAAAAGTTTTGATCAGTGTCAGTGGTTTTAATGAATTTAATAAACACAGAAGACATTTTTTAGTTTATTTACCAGAAAAACTCAGTGTCGGATTTCAACGGAAAGCAAAATCTGAATTCGAATTCGTTTTTAATGTAATGTATCTGAATATAAATTTATTATAATTAGTCATTTTTCCCTTGATCTCAAGGATGTATGTGCTGAAAGATAAAATTATTTGTGATTTTTCTACTGCCACTGAAACTGAAGAATCACTGTCATTTAATTCCTTCGTTAAATCCGTTAAAAAAGAAGATGACTGTCTGTAAAGCATCACCTTAATTGTTATTTCAACCGAGTCACTTTTAGATTTCACATCGAAGAACTGGACGGAACAAAATCGTTTTCTGCTTCGTGTGTACGGCTCATAGTGTGAACAAAATGTCAACTCAATATAAATTATAAAAAAAAAATTTAACTGCCACGCTTGCACCGTCGATTGTGTTTGATGCTATGAATATACATGAATTCTCACCTGGGTGAATGTCTTCTGCTGCTGTTTACATCCGTCAACGTCAGAGCTGCTTCCCTTTCTCGCTTGTCTTTTTTTGCTTTGCTCAGTTCACCTTTGCACCAACACAAGAACATACAGTAGTAAATTATGATGATGTAGATGAAGTTATAGTCGCACACGCTGCTGTATATATTGCTTTAAAGCTGTGAACAAGACCATGATCTGCATGAGGAAAATTTCTACCATGGCTCTTATATCACGCGTTTTTCACTAATGATTAAAATACTCTTTAGATATTGTGACTGTGAGCTCCATTTGTCTGTGCTGTACTTTTTGAGATCACAATAAAGACTTCATATCAGTAAGAAGGGGTTTTCCTGACTTATATTTCTACGGACAGTGTCCCAAACAAGAGGAAATATAATGGAGA